AATGGTTTAGTTTCACTAAGAAAATATCCTAAAACATGTAACACTATTTCGATTTGTGTAGCGATCCTTTGTTTACATAGGTTGTACGGCTCCACGTGCTGTCATCAAAGCCGACAGATGACTGGCAATCAACAGAGATCAAGGTTATTACATCCCCACGGCTTACAATCAACTAATCAAGCCTAATCAAGAATAACTCACCCTTTGTCTACTGGCTTCAATCATTCCTTTCACAAGTCTCATGTCCACACACCGTACATCAACCTCTTTTATTGTATAAACCAATACCCGCCATGTATATATTTCTCCTTGTGCAAATGTTGTGTATCATTTGCTTGATAACGGTGTTAGGATCTACACCGAAACGTCGCAACTACTACTGCAACAAAGAAGTTGTCTATCCATAAAAGTGTTCCACTTCATCATACCAGCTTCTAAATGCTACTTAAGGAAGAAAATGCCACTTAAGGAAGAAAAAAAATATTCTGTGGAGTTTGTTTAGGGACTTAATTTCACTTCAACCTTACGAACACTTCCTTCTCTGTTGTGTTTAGCCATGCTTGTGTGTTGGCATATCGATGAAGATTATCTGTAAAACAAAACTCTGTCGAACTTAATCTAGTGAAGTGAATGTGCCAGTCTCTCTATATGGTCGCAATTTGTTAAGAAGACTTAGCTGAATAATCAGATAATAGAATAAAACAAGTTTGAAAAAAGAGTGATTGAGGTTTGCTTCAGCAGTGCAGTATGTGAGTGTTAAAGGGTTTTCCTGACACCAAATATCCAGGTTTCCTTGACTACATCATTCCTTTTGTGTTCTCGTTCGTGTTGCAATTGAACTTGCATATCTAATGGAGCACATTCTGTCATGCACACGGCCAACCTCTCCCCTGCTCTCCGGGAAACTCACACAGCTTTATGGGGAGCTTCACAACAAATTGGATTTATTGGATTAAGCATGACTTGCTGTTGCCGTATAGTTTGAATATTGAGAAGTGTGACATTAAACAACAAACGCACAAATACCACTCAAACTTATGTTTATGAATTTTAGACTTTTGTTTTTGTTTTTCAATCAAAAATGTCTATTTTAGGGATCCTGTTACAAAGGAAGAAACATATCCCAAAGGTAGCTTCTGTTCAATATGAGGTTGACAATATTATACAGATTTATACATTATGTTACGTATTGTTAGCAATTTTACAGTGAATGATCAATGCAGTGATGATATAGCCCACATTAAGAGACATAGACTTGAGAGTATACTAGCAAGCTAAGTTCTTCATCTTTAGGCCTTGAAAACTTGAAAAGATCATTGTTGCTTTGACTATTATCAGTGTCCGTTTCAATCCAGGGTACCATTCCACAAAGTGATTGTACCGCTAAGATGATCGTAAGTCCCATAATTTAACACAGACATACAACAGTCGTAGCGCTGAGATCATCGCAACTCCCGTACTTTAAAACAGACTTACCACAGTCTTAGCGCTAAGATGATCATAACATACTTTAACACAGACTTACAACAGTCTTAGCGATAAGATGATCGTAAGTCCCATACTTTAACACAGACTTACAACAGTCTTAGCGCTAAGATGATCATAAGTCCCATACTTTAACACAGACTTACAACAGCCGTAGTGCTGAGATGATCATCCCACACTTTAACATAGACTTACAACAGTCTTAGCGCTAAGATGATCGTAAGTCCCATACTTTAACACAGACTTACAACAGCCGTAGCGCTATGCTTGCTTCGTGAACGGGCCCCTAGATATTATGGTTTATCATTGCCATACCCATGTTCTTTGGTTCTGCTAAATGAGTGAATGTGTGAAACCCCCAAGTAAGCTATCATGTCGTGATGTAACTGACATGGTGTTCAAAGCAGTGTTAAACCCACCTCAATCACTGTAGTAGCCATGTGTTGATGTCCTGCTGTGTCCCCTCTAGACAACCTCAAGGTATCCTGCTTTACCCTGCAGTTAACTGGTTCATACGAACAAGGAACGTCTTCACCCAAATACATAAAAAAATGTTTTGAACAGTTTGAAATACCAGGTCAAACAGGGACAGATTCAACTATATTTAACATGCACAAGTGCAACCATTAAAAATTCAAATGCAGATTATCAACCATTTTCAAATTTAACCCTTGTCAACACAAAACTGATCTTTGACACAGTCAGTACCTCAGATGTTTATACCACATCACTAATCCATGTGTTATGTAAGATTTGGCCTGCTGTCTTAGGCATGATGTCATCACACTGTTGACGCTTCACGATTATGTGCTTGTTTCTATATATTTTACACAAATGTGCTTTTATGCATATGAAAATGTGTTTCAGCTTTCATGAATTTATGGGAGCAGCTGTAACATTGTTTTGTTAAGTACAACAGGTTTCCATGTCAATATGCCTATTAACCAAGTTCCTTGTGTAGCCCATTAAGTCATATGATAATCCAACTTTTTTCATGGACGTGACTCTGCATTGAGAAGTAAGGTGTGAGTTTTCATGTTGTGGTCTCCAGGACTGCTGGTCAGACTGTGGTATAACACAGTGGTATATATCTGTTATCACTTCCTGCTTGACCTGCCTGTGAAATACGACCTGTGAAATACAGCGCTTCACTATCTCACTGGCTGCAGCCTCTTCCTGGTCCTGATAGTCATACTGGGATTACTTACAGCTTTTCCATGTCAGTGTCAACTTGTACTTTGTTTTGCCGGCTGTTATAAAAATACCTGCTATGTAAACAATTATGTTTTATTTTAAGGACAGGTTCTGTTGCACTGATAACAAATGTGGGAATCCAGTTTCCTGTACATTTGCACAAATATTCGTTGTTGTTTTTTTGTTGTTTTTATCAGACATACATGTCAGGGTACTTATCAGGGTTTATTTTTTGTTATATGTCAGGGTACTTATCAGGGTGCATTTGGGGTTATACACCGGGGTACATTTTGGGTTATACACCAGGATACATATCAGGGTACTTATCGGGGTATATTTTGGGTTATACACCAGGGTACATTTTGGGTTATACACCAGGGTACATTTTGGGTTATACACCAGGGTACATTTTGGGTTATACACCGGGGTACATTTTGGGTTATACACCGGGGTACATTTTGGGTTATACACCAGGGTACATTTTGGGTTATACACCAGGATACATATCAGGGTACTTATCAGGGTATATTTTGGGTTATACACCAGGGTACATTTTGGGTTATACACCAGGGTACATTTTGGGTTATACACCAGGGTACATTTTGGGTTATACACCAGGGTACATTTTGGGTTATACACCAGGATACATTTAAGGTTATACACCAGGATACATATCAGGGTACTTATCGGGGTATATTTTGGGTTATACACCAGGGTACATTTTGGATTATACACCAGGGTACATTTTGGGGTATACACACCAGGGTACATTTTGGGTTATACACCAGGGTACATTTTGGGTTATACACCAGGGTACATGTCAGGGTACTTATCAGGGTATATTTTGGGTTATACACCAGCGTACATTTTGGGTTATACACCAGGGTACAGTTTGGGTTATAGACCAGGATACATATCAGGGTACATTTTGGGTTATACACCAGGGTACATTTTGGGTTATACACCAGGGTACATTTTGGGTTATACACCAGGGTACATGTCAGGGTACTTATCAGGGTATATTTTGGGTTATACACCAGCGTACATTTTGGGTTATACACCAGGGTACATTTTGGGTTATAGACCAGGATACATATCAGGGTACATTTTGGGTTATACACCAGGGTACATTTTGGGTTATACACCAGGGTACATTTTGGGTTATACACCAGGGTACATTTTGGGTTATACACCAGGATACATGTCAGGGTACTTATCAGGGTATATTTTGGGTTATACACCAGGGTACATTTTGGGTTATACACCAGGATACATGTCAGGGTATATTTTGGGTTATACACCAGGGTACATTTTGGGTTATACACCAGGGTACATTTTGGGATATACACACCACGGTACATTTTGGGTTATACACCAGGGTACTTATCAGGGTACATTTTGGGTTATACACCAGGGTACATTTTGGGTTATACACCAGGGTACTTAGGGTATATTTTGGGTTATACACCAGGGTACATTTTGGGTTATACACCAGGGTACATTTTGGGTTATACACCGGGATACATATTAGGGTACATTTTGGGTTATACACCAGGGTACATTTTGGGTTATACACCAGGGTATATTTTGGGTTATACACCAGGATACATGTCAGGGTACTTATCAGGGTATATTTTGGGTTATACACCAGGGTACATTTTGGGTTATACATCAGGATACATGTCGGGGTACTTATCAGGGTATATTTTGAGTAATACACCAGGATACATTTTGGGTTATACACCAGGATACATGTCAGGGTACTTATCGGGGTACATTTTGGGTTATACACCAGGGTACATTTTGGGTTATACACCAGGATACATTTGGGGTTATACACCAGGGTATATTTTGGGTTATACACCAGGGTACATTTTGGGTTATACACCAGGATACATGTCAGGGTACTTATCAGGGTACATTTTGGGTTATACACCAGCGTACATTTTGGGTTATACACCAGGATACATTTTGGGGTACTCATCAGAAATACCTTATGTTCACTAAGAAAAACAAGAAACTCATAATTTCCAGTAAAACTGTTCATGTCTGACTGATGATAATTCTATGTTAACTAAGACACTATATAAATACAAATACTTTTTTTTTTTCTTCTTTTTTTTGCGAAATGGCCTTAAAAATTAAACTAAGTTGTAAAATGTTTTCATATGAGTTTAAATCTCTTTCAGTGTGTTTGGTGAAGGACTTAAGCACAGAAACCTGACTTTTCCAGTTTCATGTTAAAGTTGATTATGTGTTTTCATTGTGTCAGTATAGTGTGTAAGTATCAGTCAGTGATGGTATTTCTTTTACTTTGACAGTGTCGATGGTATGGACGAAGGTGGAGCTTCAGGGCCCTCCACCACCAAGTCGTCTGGACTTTGGCATGTGTGTCATCAACCTCTTCCGATCACAAAACCCAAACCAAGACTTGAGCACAGATATCGCAGCAACTTCAAAGAAGGCCCAGGAAGTCCTGGACACCGAGCTGAAACCAGGAAGTGCCAGCTCCCGGGACTCCAGACAGGACAATGGTCCAGGTGAGTTTGTCACTGATGTATCAGTGATCTGTGACTGTCCATTTGAGTCAATGAGCCATGACTCCGAGTTAAGCTAGTGAACTGTGACTGTCCATGTGTATAAGTGAGTCGTGACTCCCGGGAAAGCTAGTGAACTGTGACTGTCCATGTGTATCAGTGAGTCATGACTCCCAGGTAAGCTAGTGAACTGTGACTGTCCATGTGTATCAGTGAGTCATGACTCCCAGGTAAGCTAGTGAACTGTGACTGTCCATGTGTATCAGTGATCAGTGAGTCAGTGACTCCCAGGTAAGCAGTGCTAGTGAACTGTGACTGTCCATGTGTATCAGTGAGTCATGACTCCCAGGTAAGCTAGTGAACTGTGACTGTCCATGTGTATCAGTGAGTCATGACTCCCAGGTAAGCTAGTGAACTGTGACTGTCCATGTGTATCAGTGAGTCATGACTCCCAGGTAAGCTAGTGAACTGTGACTGTCCATGTGTATCAGTGAGTCATGACTCCCAGGTAAGCTAGTGAACTGTGACTGTCCATGTGTATCAGTGAACTGCTACTGTCCAGGTGAGTCAGTCAGTGACTCAGGTGAGCTAATGATATGTGACTGAGGTGCTGGTTGAGTAAGCGAGCCTAGGATTAGGTGAGCCTCAACTCCCCAGGTGGGTCGGTGAGCTGTAACTCCCCAGGTGGGTTGGTGAGCTGTAACTCACCAGGTGAGTAGATGAGCTGCAACTGCCCAGGTGAGTAGGTGAGCTGCAATTCCCCAGGTGAGTAGGTGAGCTGGAGCTCCCCAGTTGAGTAGGTGAGCTGGAACTCCCCAGGTGAGTAGGCAGTGAGATTCAGTTTATTCAGTGGCTCAACTTCATGCAGTGTTAGGAGTAGCAGTAGGAAAACTTAAATAACATATATGAGCATGTTCTAACAGTTAATTTCCTTAAAATAGACATGATTTTAATAATCATAGAAACATGCCCTGATGGTTAAATGAAATCCATGATAATGAATTTTATTTCTGTATTTCTCAGACTTGGCCAGCATTGGAGCCGACATGGAATTAGCTGGAGCAGAAAGTCTTGAGGCACTGGGAGAGAAGTCAAAGGGAGAGAACTCTAAAGACCCAGCCAAGGAAGCACCTGCAGCTGACAAGAAGAAACTCACCCTGTGTCTGGTGAATGGCGGCATGGATACTGAAGGAGAGATATTTGATGACACCCTTGTCATTCTGCTGCAGGGGTCGTAGTGGTCAACTACACTGTAACAATGTGTTGCTTGATGTGTCTTGTGTATGGGTACAAAACCTCATCTACTGCTTGCAGTAGAGAAACAAGGCCTCATTACAGCATTTTATGTATGCTTCAAGACATATCCAACTTCTGACACCAATAGCAAATGGAAGACAGAAAGACAAATGTATCCTACCTGTAAATCAAGTTGTGTCATGTTACAACCTGGGAGGCCAACCTCTGTGTTAATTAGATCACCCATGGCTTGATATTGTGGAAGGCAGGAGTTTGTGAATGAGGTGACATTGGTGTTCATAATTATATTTTGGCAAGAAATGCATGTGGACCTGTTTTTTGTAAATATCTCTTCATCCAATGACCCAATCGATCTCAAACTGTGCAAGTGGATGTTTTGTCAGACAACCTAATCACATTGTAAATCACCAATTTTATGCATTTGTATTAAAGAATCTGTCTATGTAACTGTCAACAAAATAAACAGCAGAACGCAGACGGCTTGCAGCAGAGGGTCATAAAGGTCAACGCAGGTCATTGGCTCCCTCCCTCTACAATCTAACTTTGCCTGCGTTTCTGTTTATTGGTTGTTGGTTTATTTTTCACAATCTTTAGCATGATGTTCTTTTTCATGCCATTAAAAGTTGCATGCGTTCATGTAATCCGACACCTTATAAATTCTTTGCTACAAATGCATAAAATTAGCATGATTTAGAAGTAGTCAATGTGATTAGGTTGTCTGCAGTGCACAGGTAACTATCCACTTGCACAGTTTGAGATCGATTGGCTCCCTCCCTCTGCAAGCCGTCATTGGATGAAGAGATATTTACAAAAAAATGGGTCCACATGCATTTCATGCCAAACTATAGGTGGCATTTTGTCCTCTGTTCATATTTAGGACTGAAACATGTTTATAAGATCATAATGTCTCACTACAGTACACCCTGCCTGAAATAATGGTTGTGCCAAAAGTACCTACGGATGTAGACAATCAGTCAGCGTACCTCTTGATCTTTACTATTCTTTACACAGAATAAGTCAATTCATCTATGTTCCATGCGAATCACATCCATGGACAGTGAATGTTCACATATACCATTAACAGTTTGTTAAATGAAATAACCAAAATATGTAGAATATCAAAACTTGCCTCTTCTCAATACTTTAGACAAGTGTGGTTAAAAATCAAATAATTATTATATTGCGGCCTTAAACAGCCATTGCATTGGAGGTGAAAGGAAGCCCCGAAAGTTAATATTTTGTGTTGGGAAAGTATGGTATTTAATGAAAGGTTATGAAGAAAAAGGACAAGCATTTGGGGAAGGTCACCCAATTTTGTGAAAATTATATATTTTTTACATCAGTGGAAAAAAAAAATCACATTCAACACTAGTTTGAAGACATCAGTGGAAACAAAATGACATTTGAAGACCAATTTGCTGATATTTAATACATTGTGAACTGATGTTGGTCACTGTAAAAGTGGGCATTAAAGGTGTTCCGGGATATTTTTGAATGCAGGGTGAATTGCTGTTGAAGATGTATCAGTAGAACTCACACTGGTTCATTGAAACATTTGTCTGGTTTTGACACATTTCAGATGAAGCTTCTATTATGTAATAGTTGAATATATATACGATAATAGATATGATACATCCATGGTTTGTACTTTTTATGGAGTGGTCAGATGGTCGAAGAGGGGACTCCATATACAGCTATTAAAACTGGGACATCTTCTACCCTGTCCACAAGCCAACCCTTCTTTGAGCTTCTCTAATCATAGGCATGAAAACCTGCCTTATATACAGAGATATACGGTAACCCTACTGCCATATCAATGTCATATCATTGCTAGATCTCAAACAATCTCACATATCAAAACTTCAATTCAAACAATACAGAATCAAATGAATTGTGGAATGACATTTATTTTAACTTTGAATGTTATGTTTTAAGAACAGGTGCCAGAACCTGTAGCTATCTTGACATGTCTGCTATTACCCTGGCACTGATGCATGCTGGGAAAGTTAGGAGGACAACATGGGAGGTAACTCTGAGTATTGTTGCTTTATACAAACGTCTTCAAACAAGGTGTATATGGGGTAAGAGTGAGTTGTGGAGTGGAAAGGTCATTTGTACTTCATTTATCTCTCTATCAATACTGATAAATTGTGATGGGCGTGTTCAATCAAATATCAACTGTTGATAGTTGTAGTGCATTGACAATTGCAATTGTTCTGCCCTAATTAGCATACAATATAGGTATAACGAAATGTGTTTGTTGTTTAGAGACATGAGGGAAGAACAGTATGTGTCCTGCATGCTCATGTTAGTAAAATACTGTACAATGAGAGTATTATAGGCTTTATAGAAGTTAGATGTAACCATGACAAGGACTTATAGAGATGTCAAGAGTGAGTGAGTATGGTTTTACGCCGCTTATAGCACTAGAGCAGCAATATCACGGCGGGGGACACCAGAAATGAGAGATGACAATAGGTAGCCCTGAAACATAGTGTATGATGATGTTGTTATCCCCAATACTCCTTGTCAAAATACTTAACATCGGAACATCTTGGTAAACAGCATGTGATCCACTTCTGTAAGAATATCTGTGTATGTATAAACTAAGGGACCGTTCATAATTTATGGCTGTGAGTGGATGGGGTGGTGATGATGATTTTAAGGGAGGTTCTGTTGAGGTAGGGGGGTCATCAATTTTTTACACATGTACTATGGGGGTCAGTAACAATGTACAAAGAATTATTGAAACATTATGCTTAAAAAATATGGGAAGGGGGGGGGGATTGATTTTGTACATGACATGCAGGAGGGTCACTTACTCTGTACATAAATTTTAGGGGGGGTCATTCACATTGTACATGCTTGTCCATAAAAATCATCACACACACACACACCCATACCCCACCAGCCATAAATTACGGTCCCTAACATGATGTCAAAGATTGTGTTATGGTTGGAGTGCCAACAATATAGCAAAGCATATTGAATAAAGCCAACATATATTTTATAACTGTAGTCACGGAATCAAAATAGTTGTCTCATGAATGATGATGGGTGATATTGAGAAGAATGGTTGCCATATGATCTCATGTTTGGATGTGTAATATATTATATTCGGTGTAATTTGAAGAGCAAGTTGTAGCTGGAATTTAATGCCTGGGAAGTCATGTCCAGGACATTTTTAAAGTTAACAAAATGCAATATACTACTTTTTGAGATGTATACAAAGATTGTTCATTCTATTTACACAATAGTTTAGTTTGGTACAGTTTGGTGTACTATAAAATGAGTAAACCTTATCAAAAGTTGAGTAGCATACATTGTGTTTTGTTACACCATATTTTTCACAAAGCAGTTGAAGAACTTTCACTTCCAAATATTGGGCATGGATGCTCATTCACAGGTGCTGCAATTCCCTGTGCAGAGTTGTCTCCCTTGGCCATGCCAAATCCTATGATCGTTAGTTTGAATCCCAGTTCTGCCCAAATTGTGTCAGCACATATCTTTTCCCATTTGTTTCGCCGGAGTTGTAAATATGTGAGACCTACATAAATCACACAGGCTATCTTCCCACAATAAGCTTACATGCCAGGACAAAACTGGAATACGGAAAGAGGCGTTAAGCCGAACTCACTCATTTCAAAAGGCACAAGAATTTTGCTTTCTATTGTTTTCATGGTTTGCAAGATGTAACAGATCATTCATTACTGAAACATCAAAGCATGAGTGTTATTGTTGGCGTGTGTGAGTTGATGACTTCAGCCCTGTCTCTGCTGCACACCAGGATGATTGTATGATAGTATCTGCCTGGAATGCTTTTTGAATGGAGGCCCTGTGTCAACTTGTCACAAATATCACTGTTTCTACTTATTAAAAGGTTTACAAGTTCAGCAATATTTGGTGTTATTTTTATACAAATTCATGAAGATCTGGGTTAGAATTTGACTTCAGCAACCAAATCTTGTCGTAAGAGGCTACTTAAAGGATCTGTGGTCAGACTCACTGGTTGATGCTTGTCATTGTATCCCACTCTGGAGAGGGCTTTTCTAAGTTGGATAACTTGTGCCCAATCCTTTTCTTGAATCAATAAAATATGTTTAAAACAAAATTGTATCCCAGTTGCGTAAAATCGATGCTCATGACTTCAACCACTGGATTGTTTGGTCCAGACTCGGTAATTGTCATATAGCTTCATGTTGCTGAGTGTTGCAACAGGTATGTTTTCTCATTTCACTACTCTCATTATATTTCACTTCCCTTAATTTACAGACCGCTGGAATATTGCTGAGTGCGGCGTAAAACTAAACTCACTCACTTCCCTTAAATCATGCCAGTCATTTCCTTAAAGGTGTGTGGTGCTTAATTAATGCTTATGTGTTCTGAGGACTGAGGATGACCTGCAACACATTGCCTCCCAAATCCCATATTACTGCCAACAATGCTGGGTGTTTGAATCTGGCTGGTGAAGACGACTTTCTCCTGGTGATCTGCAAAGATCTCCACAGTGGAATGCGATCATGCTTGCCAGACATTAATCTTTGAAATCACTGAAGAGGTAGACATCTGACAATGCCAAATCTCATGAACATTTAATGAGTTCAAAAAAAACCCCAAAACAAGTAGACTGATATTTTACATGCACCTACATTATTTTTTCCAATTGTCACAATGGTATGCTTGTAACCATGTTGATCTTGCTGACATCGTGTATGAAAACAGTAGGTTATGTTTAGTGAAGTAATGTATTTGAAACTTAGATACAATGTCCCTTGTCAATCTGCCAAAAGCCCATGGGTTTCATCGTTCATTCACTGAGGCAGATTATAAGTAATGTCTCATAGCTGGTGATCAAATTACCATCGTCAAGGATCAGTTTGCATTCTAAAAAATTGTTACCTCAGTTCCTTGAGAAAATTAGTAAGTATGGTTTTATGCCACTTTAAGCAATATTCCAGCAATATCATGGCAGGGGACACCAGAAATGGGCTTCACACATTGTACCCATGTGGGGAATCAAACCCAGGTCTTTGGCGTGACGAGCGAACGCTTTAACCACTATTTTACGCCACCGGCCTCCTTGATATTATCACATTCATACATCTTTGCTCATTTCTTGCTGGACATACCCAATGTACAGCTCATCGTATCATATCATTCCAAACAATCAGTTTATAAACAACCAAACAAACCGTGATAATATCAGATTTTATTACCTGTTTGCCATGTTTCACAAAGATGTGATGACTATATACAGACTGCCCTTGAAACAATGTGATTCATTGTGATACTGACACACATCAGATTAACATAACAACATGTCAGCCAGCCTGGGCTGCAGCACCATTGCGGAGGATGAGGAACAGCCTAGAAGCCACATGTGATCAACCCACACACAGAACAACATTGGTCATACTTCCACACAGTGCATGGCATCTAGATTCTCTGGTAGTTCTTGTCTGGCACACAGGAGGGTGCCAACTCCCACCTTCTTGGCATCCGGCATACCTGTTGTCTTGGTTCCTGAGTCATATTGGTGTATACAGCTAGAACAAGTACAGACTGGGATTTTCACATACAATTCATGACTATGCCTGTCATAAGTCTAGGGCTAACTATTTATTGATTTGTCACTCATTGCAAAAGAGAAATAATAATAATCAAAATTTAACATTTCATTCAATCCGGAATACAATTGAACAGGATTCGGCATCCGGGTAACCCAAACCGGGTTGGCACCTTCACAATTGTTGACAATCTCTCTCCATTGCAAGCTGTCAGCACTGCAGGCTAGACAGGAACTAGATCTCCATGAAGCCACAGCATTTAGCAGCTCATCCATACACTTCCCCATCTGCCCTATAGTGAGTGAGTATGGTTTTACACCGCTTTTAGCAATATTCCAGCAACATCAAGGTGGGGACACCAGATATGGGCTTCACACAATTGTACCCATGTGGGGATCGAAATGCTTTAACCACTAGGCTACCCCATCGCTCCCCCTATCTGCCCTATAATCAACCTCACTGTTATCAACTACTGACCTCTAACAGACCACTATATGGTAGTGTATTTAACTCCTTCATGGGTGATATATCTCATATATCAACAGCTAAATTCTAGCTAGCTGTATGTATATTTTCTTAAACAGAAACAAATAAATGTCATCTTTAGAAGCTATCAGGAATATATTATGACTAATTCCGCTGTGATTAGATCACACTCTAGTACATCGACAAAGAGAGAACAGCTACACTGATCAGTAGCCTTCACTGAGAAAACAAGATTCACAACAAAAACAAAATTATGAAGGAACACATTGGTTCATCCTATCCATGTCTGTGTTTGAGCCCACTAGCACAATGTTACCTCAACTTAATGCAAGTGTTGTATCCACTGAATAATCTTTGACACTGCAAGAATAACCCTGGGTAAGGGAAGAGTCAGGGAACTGATGTATGCTACTTGCAAAAACATCATCATATTCTTCCATGCTGCTGTAGATGATTTGTCATGCCATATAATATTATGAAAGAATTAGATTATCCCAGACGTTAACTATTACTGTTTGTCAGGTGTATGTTACAGCTCATAATTATGAGGGGGAATATTACATTTATAACCTGGCCAAATCAATTTTGAAAACGAAAAAGAAAAGGAATTTAAAGAAAATACTTCAGTTTTTTACACTGGCGCTATATATCTTTTGCCAGCATTGTACTAGAAAAAGAGGAAGATATTCAATTTAGAATCCATCAAGATTTGTTGTGTAACTATGCTTTTGACACACATGACTAAACAGAAGTGAGGTAGATTCCATTGTAGAAGTGGGCCCAACGATACAAGGTGACAAACAGTTGCCATATATGGGACACTTTCACTGGAATGATACAACGTAATTAACTACCATTTCATAACAAAACACATGCAAGTATCTCACTGTCTCTTCACTTTCCCACGCTTTCTGTCATATAGTGTAAATGGTACTGTTTTGATTAAAGCCAATGGTCTGAATAGTGTTACAAGTACTACCAGTCCCATCTAAACATGTTATGGTTTGCTCCTCGGATTAAAATACATAGCAGATTGATACAATGGAATCCTTACAAATGTTGACATAATATACTGAGGGAAACAAATAAGGGATCACATGAAAGCACAAGTGTTCCTATATTTTTTTCCAGGTTTCTTCACAAGATGTGCGATACACTGACTGACTGAGTTTGGTTTTACGCCGCTTTTAGCAATATTCCAGCAACATCACGGCAGGGGACACCAGAAATGGGCTTCACACATTGTGCCCATGTGGGGATTCGAACCCGTCTTCGGCGTGACGAGCCAACGCTTTAACCATTAGGCTACCCCACCGCCCCAGATGTGCGATACAAGTTTGTGAAGAAACCTGGAAATAAATATAGGAACACTTGTGCTTTCATGTGATCCCTTATTTGTTTCCCTCAGTATATTTTACTACAGTAAGACCAACAAAGTTACAAATTAAGAAAACATTGTTTTAAATCAAAATAATATCCTATTTTGACATTCTAGTGACCACAAACTTCTTGAGCTTAGTTTCAATGTTTCTTATTTATAGTGAAGATTTAAAATATTGGTTTTGACATTTTCTTTTGGGGACGTGTTAATGCTGTATCTACAAAGCTCCACTACACATATTAAAACCTGTAATGGCAACAGAATGAATCTAGTACATTTCATCATCAAACCTTAAGGAGGTATTCAAGATATTTCATTAATATTATGTCACCATCATCAGACATAAACCTACACGATACCCTCGAGTTGAGCCTGGATTTCCACATTACAACTCTTCCTATACTGAGCCAATAAAGTTAGGTACCATGAATATTTTGGGGCATATGTTTGTAGTAAAAACTGAGCACACAATTTCACAAAAAATATCCAAAAAATATTCATGATCCTTATCATTTTTGTTCAGTATATGTACACATTCAACACGATGTATAATACAAGCTTTCAACACTTCGCAAAATGCAGAAATATATTGGTCAGAGAGTTTAATTACAATAACTTGTACTAATACAATATCCAGTGTTCAAAGTCATCATAATAATACATTTAGTGCAACATTGTATCCAGACATGAAATTGTGTGGGTAATGAAACTATGAGATGAATTTGATGGCACTGAAAACTTGAAAGTTGATATATTGCAAAGCAACATATTGCAAACAACAGGAAAAGTAATAAATAATTGTAAAATACACCAAGACCATTAATACATTGGCTATATTAGTAACATGGTGTAAAGAGATGAGAGGTGTAGAATGGACTGAGGTAATCATGTTGGGAAATGATGTATGATGCTACCCCTACCACCCTGTCATTGAGAGCCTCTTGCTGTATGAGTGTGTGTAGCTACCCCTACTACACGATCACTGAAAACCTAGTGTTGCTACCTCCTCATATCCAGTCAATGATATCCTCATCATGCTACCCCTCCTTCCTACCCAGTCAGTGATAGACTACCTATCACTACCCAATCAATGAGAGCCTAGCACTCCTACCCCCTACTACCCAGTCAGTGAGTGATACCTAGCACTCCTGAGAGCCTAGCACTCCTACCCCCTACTACCCAGTCAGTGATAGCCTAGCACTCCTACTTCCAACTACCCAATTAATGAGAGCCTAGCCAGTCGGTGATAGCCTAGCATTGCTACTCCCCACATTCCAGTTAGTGATAGCCTATGTTCCCACCCCTAACTAACCAGTCAGTGAGAGCCCAGCTTTGCTACTCCCCACTACCCAGTCAGTGTTACCCTATGTTGCTACCCCCACTACCCAGTCAGCGATAGCCTAGCACTCCTACCCTCCACTAGCCAGTCAGTGATAGCCTAGCACTCCTACCCACCACTAGCCAGTCAGTGATAGCCTAGCACTCCTACCCCCACTAGCCAGTCAGTGATAGCCTAGCACTCCTACCCCCCACTAGCCAGTCAGTGATAGCCTAGCACTCCTACCCCCACTAGCCAGTCAGTGATAGCCTAGCACTCCTACCCCCCACTAGCCAGTCAGTGATAGCCTAGCACTCCTACCCCCCCACTAGCCAGTCAGTGATAGCCCTAGCACTCCTACCCCCTCCTACTAACCCAGTCAGTGATAGCCTAGCACTCCTACCCCCACTAGCCAGTCAGTGATAGCCTAGCCTCCTACCCCCACTAGCCAGTCAGTGATAGCCTAGCACTCCTACCCCCCACTAGCCAGTCAGTGATAGCCTAGCACTCCTACCCCCACTACTAGTCAGTCAGTGATGATAGCCTAGGCTCCTACCCCCCCACTAGCCAGTCAGTGATAGCCTAGCACTCCTACCCCCAATAGCCAGTCATGATAGCCTAGCACTCCTACCCCCACTAGCCAGTCAGTGATAGCCTAGCACTCCTACCCCCACTAGCCAGTCAGTGATAGCCTAGCACTCCTACCCCCACTAGCCAGTCAGTGATAGCCTAGCACTCCTACCCCCCACTAGCCAGTCAGTGCATAGCCTACCCCCTCCTCCTACCCCCACTAGCCAGTCAGTGATAGCCTAGCACTCCTACCCCCACTACCCAGTCAGTGATAGCCTAGCACTCCTACTACCTAGCCAGTCAGTCACTAGCACCCTAGCACAGTTAGTGATAGCCTAGCACTCCTACCCCCACTAGCCAGTCAGTGATAGCCTAGCACTCCTACCCCCACTAGCCAGTCAGTGATAGCCTAGCACTCCCTACCCCACTAGCCAGTCAGTGATAGCCTAGCACTCCTAACCCCCACTACCCAGTCAGTGATAGCCTAGCACTCCTACCCCCTACTAGCCAGTCAGTGATAGCCTAGCACTCCTACCCCCCACTAGCCAGTCAGTGATAGCCTAGCACTCCTACCCCCACTAGCCAGTCAGTGATAGCCTAGCACTCCTACCCCCACTAACCAGTCAGTGATAGCCTAGCACTCCTACCCCCACTGGCCAGTCAGTGATAGCCTAGCACCCTACCCCCCAGTCAGTGATAGCCTAGCACTCCTACCCCCCACCTACCCAGTCAGTGATAGCCTAGCAGCTCCTCCTACCCCCACTAGCCAGTCAGTGATAGCCTAGCACTCCCCTAGCCAGTCAGTGATAGCCCACTCCCCCTTAGCCAGTCAGTGATAGCCTAGCACTCCTACCCCCACTAGCCAGTCAGTGATAGCCTAGCACTCCTACCCCACTAGCCAGTCAGTGATAGCCTAGCACTCCTACCCCCACTAGCCAGTCAGTGATAGCCTAGCACTCCTACCCCCACTAGCCAGTCAGTGATAGCCTAGCACTCCTACCCCCCACTAGCCAGTCAGTGATAGCCTAGCACTCCTACCCCTCCTACCCAGTCAGTGATAGCCTGAGCACTCTTACCCCCATCCTACCCTCCACTAGCCAGTCAGTGATAGCCTAGCACTCCTACCCCACCACTAGCCAGTCAGTGATAGCCAGCACTCCTACCCCCCACTAGCCAGTCAGTGATAGCCTAGCACTCCTACCCCCCACTAGCCAGTCAGTGATAACCTGGATATTTATGCATGGAACAATCACCTTTGTGACTGGGTCAGACTGATTTAGTACAAGGCCATAATAAAGGTTTAATACTGCTGAGAGTACCATGAGATGTTCACATACCATCATTCTTAATTAGTTCAAAGATAACTGAGTTGGTGTAAGTGACTGAGTGGGTTTGAAGCCCCCTTTGAGCAGTTTTCCAGTTATATCAAGGCGTATCAGCTTGAGTGGGAGGAAAGCCCCAAGTGATGCAGCTTTCAGATGTCTACCACTTTGTTGAAACCCACAAACAAGGGTATGGTGCAGACAAACCTAGCAACATAATCAGTTCAATAGGGATTCAAACCCACAATCTTAGGTTCTAGCCTGCCAAAGGGACCTAACTCTGCCAAGCAAATAGCTGGCTGAGACAACTCCCCCTTCCCTGAGTTGGTGTGATTCACCCACATAGAATGCATTGTTTGTAAATTAACAGACATACCATCTGTTTTAACAACAGTGAGTGAGTGAGTTTAGTTTTACACCGCTTTTAGCAATATTCCAGCAATATCACGGCGGGGACACCAGAAATGGTCTACACAGCAAATTTTGGCACCTCCAACAACTGGACATCAGGACCCAGAAGTGTTCACACCGGAACCTTCAGCTTGTGAGAGGGAAGATTTATGTATACGTATTTGTTAAACACTGTATGGAGATGAGCGATGACATTTAAGGATGACAGATAAATTATAACTTATGCTGGGTGACAATGTTAAATGACAGTTGATAAGGCACAATGACCACATGTTCCAGATCCCTAAAAGGATTCGAAATTGATTCTTAAAATAATATATACAATCTTCTGGTGTCTTTGTTTAATAATTTACACGTAACTTGGCAAATGAATGCAAGAATAATGACAGATTGGTACTGAATATGTCAGTGGATGTCATAAACAGACACAATTGAACAAGATGGACAACATGAGGGGCAGAACTTGATGTACTTTGGATTGTGGGTTCAACTTCACACACAATGCTTAAATGGAAACAATACTCTGTCTCTGAAAGTACTGAAATATGGTTCAGTTTTTTCTTGCAGATTAGTGAGTAAGTGAGTTTGCTTTTACACCGCTTTTAGCAATATTCCAGCAATATCACGGTAGGGGACACCAAAAATGGGTTTCACACATTGTACCCTTGTCAGGAATCAAACCCGGGTGTTAAGCATGACGAATGAACACTTAAACCACTAGGCTACCCAACCGCCCCTTTCTTACAATTCAACAATTTGTATAATATGGATGTTAACCAGGCCCCGATTTCTCGAAACAAACTTAAGTTTTTACTCAAATTTCAAACTGAGTTGGACAATTTGAAACAGCTGAATTTTTAAATCAACTGCATTTTTTAAATAAAAAAGCCCAAACAACTTAAGTAATCTATCCACCAAACTCAAATTGTCTACTATGTTTGAGTTTAATATCGATTTTAGTTCATTCTTGGAAATGCATTTTCTCAAATTTGAGTAAAAACTCTAACTTAAGTCGAAACTCAGACTTAAGTTTGTTTCAAGAAATCGGGCCTGAACTGGTTTGACTTGTGTGAGGCATAAAGAGAAGGCGCCCACGCCTACTGGGGGACCAAAGGGGGAAACCTTTCACAGAAGAAATACAGTCAGAAGAGAGAGTGCAGTGAAACTGACACATGTGTTTGTTCTTCATTAGTGTTTACATGACTGGCAAGGGTGGTGCAATCAGTCAACATCATATGTGCAGTAAATGTGGCTGCTTTTACAGAATAGATTTCAATAAACATAAACTGAAGGATCTTGTAATAATGAGGGCCATTAGTGTTAGCAAAATGACTCAAGAGTTGAGAGCATTGTTGCCATGTAAGAACCAACACAATAACTAACAGAACATTCCTCTTCAAGGCAAGATCAATCTAACTTTTTTCATATTCACAGATATTTGTGAACCATGTCTAAAACCTGGCAGGAAAAAGCAGTTCTGAGGCAATAGAGTAAAGTGTCCAAGAAAATATTCCACTGATGACACATTTCTATGCTAAAACATGTGTGAGCTTAAATAATAATCATCAATTATAACTGACAGGTCAACAAACAGGCAATAACTTGGTCTTACCAAAAAGATACAAAGTCATTTCACAGAAATACCACTACATATGCTACTCAGTCATATGAAAGAATCAAGTGGTTCTTAACATTTTGTGAGTATCATATGACACTGTACAGGAATTACGGAATCAACAACTTCATTCAGTTACAGAAATGCCAGACAAACAACTGTCTGGCTCACCTCGAGAACCCCAAACAAGCAGGATTCTTCTTTTCCAGCATCTAGTCAACTTCTACAAAGACATAACAAGTTTGATTCTGTGCCTCCACCTCCACTGTGTAATACAAGATGGTCAGGCTGCCATCCGACTGAAGGAGCTCAACACATCAACACACATAACAACTAAATCACAGTATTCCATCACCATCTACTTGGTTTGTGAGAGTTATCTTCCTTTGGATGCATCAGGTTTTGGTCATGTTGATGTCTGAATAATGGTTTGTTGTCTGCAAGTTTTGTATTTATTTTGTTGAACACCTCACTCAGCAATATTCTAGGCATGTGACGTCAGTCTGGAAATAATTGAATCTGGACAGGAAAATCCAGTGATTGCTTATATTTGAAGAAAAAGTGAGTGAGTTTAGTTTTATGCCTCACTCAGCAATATTCCAGCTATATGGCGACGGTTTCTAAACAATCGAGTCTGGACCAGACAACCCAGTGATCAACAGCATGAGCATTGATCTACGAAATTGGGGTACGATGATATGTGTCAATCAAGTCAGTGAGCCTGACCACCCAATCCCGTTAGTCGCCTCTTATGACAAGCATGGGTTACTGAAGACCAATTTCTAACCTGGATCTTCATGGGTCTTGAAGAGAAAGACACTGGGTGTATGCCATGTGGTATTTACCTTTCTTTCTCAGGACAACAAACACAGACTGGAGTCTCAGGTGAGACATTCACTCACATATCTCAATCTTACATGTTCCTCTTAATTCATAAATGTATACTGGTTAACTCAACAATTGCTGACTCTGGAATATGTACTCACCCAGAAGTGGTATATATTTACATGCAAACCACTTGATTAACATTGACAGCAATAACAGTTACAAGAATAAGAGGTAAATGACAGCCCATAAAACAATTAGCTGGAGTGAGTCGAGCATATGGTTTTCTGTCACATTCCGCACTATTCAAACAATATCATGGTGGAAACACAAGACATGTGCATCACACATTGTAAACATGTCGACAATCAAACCTGAGCCTTGGGCAAGACCTAACAAACGGACCACAGGGGCTAACCTGTCAACCCAGTCCAGCTAACGGAACACCGTAGTGTTAATGTGTCTGAGGTTTCCCATGTGCATCCAAAGGAAGATACTCAAATACAGTAAAACCCTGTTATTTCAGGCTCCCTTGAAAGAACATTTGTCCAGAAGGAGGCTGGGAGGAGATTTGTTCCTCCATATTGTTTCTCAAGCAATTTAAACCAGATAATGGGGTTTGACTGTATATCCTAGGATGTGCGCTGACTCCTGTTTTGCACCAAATATCTGCCGTATTTTAGTCGTCTTCCTTTGATGACCTTGACCTTGTATTGAAGACAGGCCCACGCACACTGTACTGAGGTATGAAAGACATGGTAGATCATCTCCGCTTATATTTTTGGTTATACCAGCTCCAGAACCTGCAAAATCATAAACATATTCCTTCAGTACAGACTTGCTCCGTTAAGTTTGTCTGTTGCTTCAGCATGGCCTCAGCAATATCCAAGCTACATGATAATGGATTGTAAAGAATTATAAAGACATGTGTCAACCAAGTAAGCAAGCCTGACCACCCTGAACCTCTTATGAAACATTTCAGTCCAAACCAGACAGTCCACTACTGAGTGAGTGAGTGAGTTTAGTTTAACGCTGCACTCAGCAATATTCCAGCTATATGGCAGCGGTCTGTAAATAATCGAGTCTGGACCAGACAATCCAGTGATCAACAGCATGAGCATCGATCTGCACAATTGGGAACTGATGACATGTGCCAACCAAGTCAGCGAGCCTGACCACCCGGTCCCGTTAGTCACCTCATATGACAAGCATGGGTTACTGAAGATCAATATTCTAACACAGACCTTCACGGGTACAGTCCAGTACTGACATCACCAGCATCAACCTACACAACTAGGATACAGTAACCTACATCAACCAAGTCAGTGGGTGTGACCACACAATCCAGTAAGTATGTCTAGCATGCATTGCTGAAGACCAACTCTCACATAGATCTCCATTGTCAGCCTCTACAGTCCAGTACTCACACCAGCATCAACCTACACAGATCTCCATTGTCAGCCTCTACAGTCTAGGGTTGAGGTTGAAATACATAAGCCAGGTTATGAGTATAGGCCAATCAACTGCTCATGTTATCTCCCCATTCAATTTGAAAGGTTGCTGGAAACTAGCTGTGCCTTCTTGTCACAGCCTATATCTACTGGGTGCTGGACATGAACAGGAACATGAGTCTGCCATCTAATGCAGGCTGGTTTATATTCAAACTTAAACAGATTTATATATTCATATGTATATATATATCCCACAGCCTCTAATGGGATATAAAAATCACAACAACAAAACGTGAGTAGCCACGCCGACAGCAGGCTGTGTGTTTTTGATGAGGTATGAGTCACACAGTCACACAGTCATCCAGTCACCCAGTATCATTCAAGTTTTAGGAATTATGTAACAGCTAGTTTAGTATAATATAAAATAACTGCCTACCTTGACAGTTCCTTGGCTGTTTGCTGCCACAACAACATTGGATCTCTGAAATCAAATGAGAATATGTATACAGTGTTTGAAAGTTGTAGAGTTGTAATACAGAGTGGTTGCTATAACATAGATCTGATACTATGGGTGCGATACCATTCATATCCCTTACACTATGTTAATTTCAAAATTTCACAGATGGAATATTGGCAAAAACATGCAGCCTAGCCAGCCCAGACTGCACTGGGTATGTTATGCTATTTATAGCCAATTGGAAATACCAGAAAATTTGAGTAAGCTGGTTGTTATTAAACCTGTTATTTTTCACATTACTATACCAATATAAGTGAGGAAGTGTGTTAAGTTTTACGCCGCACTCAGCAATAATCCAGCTATATAGCAGCAGTCTGTAGATAAGAGACTCTGGACCACACAATCCCGTGATTAACAGCATGAGTATCGATCTAACATGGGATACGATGACGTGTCAATGAGCTTGACCACCCAATCCCGAAAGTCGCCTCTTACGACAAACATGGATTTCTGAAGATCAATTCTAGCCGGATCTTCACAGGTTGTACCAATATAACAATACAGGGGTAGTAAATCGATGTATTGTACCATGGACCTTGTATTGGGATATAACACTGTATCACCATATTGTAAGGTCGTTTGGCTGTTGTTTGATTACTGGGAACCCATTCTAACCCAGAATCTCTTTGGACTGGCTTTACTGAAGAAAACTAGGATGAAATAATTGTACTCACAGGTCTCCATGTCACAGCACTCACAAACTCATTGGCATCTTCGTCTTTTCTATCCTTGTCCTGAAGCACAACAGTCAGGTTGCTATCACATTTGTCAATATCTGTGAATCTCAGGTAGTTGGTAGTTAACTAGTTTTGTACAATGACAAACTTCTTAATAAACATGAGTGACTTTTGTTTTACACCGCTTTTAGCAATATTCCTGCAATATCATGGCAGGGGACACCAGAAATGGGCTTCACACATTGTACCCATGTGAGGATTCGAACCCGGTCTTTGGCGTGATGAGTGAACCCTTTAACCACTAGACTACCCAACCGCCCTCTTAATAAATGACTGAACTACAGAAGTAACCGAAGATCCAGTTGTAGGATCCATCTGAAAACCTGTACCCGATACTATTGTTACTTGTCTTAACTGAAGCAACCTACCAGCACACTTCTGACAGTGTCAAACTTGTATGTCATCAGTTGCTTAGAAAGACCCTTGTAGTAGATATATAGAGAGTTGTTCTCACTGCCTGAAACAGAGAAAAATGATTTAAATCAAATCTGCTGAGACTCAAAAGCTATTCAATGGAAGACATGAGCATCAATCTAGCTATATCAAGTGAGTAAGAGAGTATGGCTCTATGCTGTTTTTATCAATATTCCAATAATATTGGAGTGGGGACACCAGAAATGGGCTTCACACATTGTACCCATTAAGAAACTGAACTGGAGACTTTGGCGTTATGAATAAACGCTTTAACCACATAGCTACACCACAGTCCCTAGCTATATAAACGCAAACACACTGGGTCAGACAACAAGTAGCATAGAGGACAAGACAATATAATTGTTTCTCACAATACCTACACCAGAGACCTCTCATGACATACTACATCTACTGGGTACCTGCAACATTTCACAGTTACTGCCTCTTAACCTTCCCTATCCTTTTGGCACCTGTAGGTCTGACACTAACAGATACCAATATCTTCCCTACACCTCTGTATCCAAGCAGTTTACAATGAGGAAAGCAGACTTCAGGACCTACCACATGAGACATAGTCTCCATCAGTTGCCAAGACCAACAAAGTTTTTTTCGTTGATGTGACCTTTAAACGTTCGTACTGCATTGGGTTTGCTCAGATTCCACAGCTTGAGCTGACTGTCCGTGGACCTGTGAATATAGTTGAAGGAGGTGAGCTAGAGGAAGGTACGATACTTATCATACTATAGTGAATGAGTTTAGTTTTACGCCACTTTTAGCAATATTCCAGCAATATCACGGCAGGGGATACCAGAAATGGGCTTCACACATTGTACCCATATGGGGAATCAAACCCGGGTCTTCGGTGTCATGAGCAAATGCTTTAACCACTAGGCTACCCACCGCCTTATGATACTATAACAACAAGAGTTGACTGAAATGTAACTCACGCTGAGACTATTTCCTGAGCGTTGACAAACTTGGCATATGACACTGCTTTCCTGTGCCCCCGGAAGACTCCAACTGCTTGTTTTGTGTTCCGTAGATCATAGTAATGTACACAGTGATCTGAAACAAGCACCTGTCTCCATCAACACCCTCAATAAACATTATCAGTTTTACTTTACATGTAATTCATATGAAATAATGTGCCAAAATACTCATATCAGAGTAAGTTTTCTAAAGAAAACTAAAATCATGAATGAGTATTTACAACCTCTTTCTGAAAACAATGGACGCTACTCCGTGACTTGTTAAAAATGAAAGACAGACAGGCAGAGACACAACTATGTGGTGAGTAATGACATCCCTCTTTTACAAAGCTGCGTAAGAACCTGACAGTTACCCAACTCACTATATGTCATCTATGCCATGAAAACAATGATCGGAACTATCCCATCATCATTCATCATGGTGTGAGATTCATATTAATCCCAAGCATCTTACCTGCAGATCCGAAGGCTAGATGGTACCTGCTCTCTGGGTTGAATTTAACACAGCACACATTTGCCTTGGCCTCTAGGTTGGCTACAGAATGCTCTGAGTTGATTGCCCATAGCTTTACTGCAACAACAACAGATCATATTGCAGTACTGGAAATAATAGTGAGTGAGTGAGTGAGTGAGTGGGCGAGTGAGGGTTGAGTGAGTGAGGTGGGTGGGTGGTGGGTGGTGAGGTGAGTGAGTGGTGTGAGTGGGTGAGTGAGTGGGTGAGTATGGTATTAGTCACTTTTAGCAATATTTCAGCAATATCATGGCAGGGGACACCAGAATGGGCTTCACACATTGTACCCAGGTGTGGAATCAAACCCGGGTATTCAGCTTGACAGGCAAGTGTTTTAACCATTAGGCTACCCTACCATGCCGGCATGGCATGTGGTTTGGGGTTACAGAATTGGAATCTCACACCCGATAATCGTTAGTTTTCAACATATTGGATTCTTCTTTTTTATTGCCTGTTGTTTGATGCCACACTCAGCTACATTCCAACAATACGACATCACCCCAGAAATGACAGAGTCTGCAGCAAACCAGCGATTGATATCATGAGCAATGGTCCACAAATAAAGTGAGTGAGTATGGTTTTACGCTGCTTATATCAATATTCCTACCCATGAAGGTCTGGGTTAGAATATTGATCTTCAGTAACCCATGCTTGTCGTAAGAGGCGACTAACGGGATCGGGTGGTCAGGTTCGCTGACTTGGTTGACACATGTCATGTCATCGGTTCCCAATTGTGCAAATCAATGCTCATGCTGTTGATCACTGGATTGTCTGGTCCAGACTCGATTATTTACTGGACTATTGCTGAGTGCACTGTAAAACTAAACTCACTCACTCACTCACTCACTATAGCAATAGTCTAGCAATATCATGGCAGGGGACGCCAGATATGGGCTTCACACATTGTGCCCATGTGGGGAATCGAGCCTGGGTCCTCAGTGTTACAGGCAAACACTTTAACCACTTAGCTACCCCACCGCCCCTCACAAATCAAGATAGAAAGATAAAGCCATCAAACATGTCAGTAAGTCTGACCAGTTTTATCTTTAAAGTCTGGAAAGCATTTGAAATCTGCAATACCCAACAATGAATTTCAACATGACTATATCAAAGGCAAGGTGACGTTAAGCCAAAGACTTCAGCTAAGCCACTGTTTGTAATGATGACTAGTTTTTCATTTGCCCACCAGTTATCTACAGAAATTAGTAGAGACCTAGTTGAGTTGTTTTGCATGAGGTCTTTGAAGTTCCTGAGTTTACAGCTCACTGGATTATCTCAAATATACTTAACCTGTACCTTTGGCATCATCCGAACCGGATGCAAGAAGTTTGGGGTCCATTCTGTTGAAGTCCACACTCCAACATCGCTTTTCATGTTCCTGAAATATAACAAATCAAGAATAGCCAACAAGCTTCATAGATTATTGGATTATCTGTCCTAATAAGGCCCATTGGCTCATTCTAAAAGTGATCTTAGTGCAAAGATGAGCGTAACTCACATACTATACCAGTGAGGATGTTCTGGCAATGTGAGTGTTTAGTTCATTGTGCCTAACAGGCAGCATGGCTGTATGACCCCAGGGAGTTGAAAAAGTATCAGAAAGTATGATAGTGTTTTATGACCGGGATAGTAATGTACATAGCGCCAGGCAATGTGCCTGGATATGAGCACCATATAAGCGGACTATTACTATTACTATACAATAGGTTTATGATAGTGGTAGCTCTATAATCACTTTGTGGAACAGAGCTCTGGACTTACAGCATTCATCTTCCACTTACTAACAAAAGTGTGGGGTCCAGGGAACCCCATCAATACATTTCTTGGGCCCTTGTTGGTTATATGAGGGTCCTGTAAGTACTGAAATGGTGCTGTGTATTGTACGTTCAGATAATTACTTCAGAGTGTGGAATGAATCAGTGGTCATGTGGACAGTGGTCATGGCTGATGGGTGAGTGAGTGAGTGAGTTTGGTTTTATGCCGCTTTTGGCAATATTCCATCAATATCACAGCGGGGACACCAGAAATGGGGACACCAGAAATGGGCTTCAGCACACATTGTGCCCATGTGGGTGAATTAACAGAACCCAGGTCTTCATACGCGGTGAGGAGAGTGAGTTTACTTTTACACCGCCTTTTAACCACTAGGCTACCCAGGGCTGATGGGTGAAATAACAGACACAGATGAATACTCTACCCCGGCTGATGGGTGAAATAACAGACGCTTTAGAATACTATTTTTGTGTCTTTTCGGATTCTGTATTTTGGTTTTTCTGCATCCATTCTCTACATTTGTGCATACAAGATGCACATTTGTGCGTCACATAAAACCCTGGGGACAGACAATCTGCAATTCCTCATAGATAATTTTGTTGACATTTTAAGAGAGAAAATGAGGAAAACACATAAGAAAATGTCAACCCTACCGAGAAACTTCACTGAACATGCCAAAGGCAGCATATAGTTCAGATAACGTACTGTAATCAGTGTGTATTGCCATGAGTGAGTGAGTTTAGTTTTATGCCGGTTTTAGCAATATTCCAGCAATATCATGGCTGGGGACACCAGAAATGGGCTTCACACATTGTACCCATGTTGGAAATCGAACCTGGGTCTTTGGCGTGACTGGCCAATGCTTTAACCACTAGGCTACCCCACCCACCCCCCTAACCAAGGATGTCTACGTGGTACAAGAACATGCTAAGTGAGCTGGTACAGAGTGGACCCACCTGAAACATTCGTGCCTTGCTGCCGGTGAAGGCATCCCATAATGTAACGGTTCCCTCATAATCGGAACTGGCCAGCATCCCTTTGTGGTAGGCGCTCCATGTCACACAACTGAATTAAAGACATCACAGTTTTACACACTTACACAAATACTTCTAGGATCACATTGAGAGGCATTTAGAAGTAGAAGTACTAATGAAGGGTAAGACGTGGATGAACAACATTTGTATTACAAAAGGAGCGCCTTCTTGGTGTAGGTCCTAATGATAGCAGTGTTAGAAGTTACACCACAACGTTGTTCCTATTGTAACAATGAAGCTGCAACAACCGATATGTCTATTCTTACTTCCAGGATCTGTTGGCTGTCGTTAGGCAACCTGCATTAGGAACGATTATGTAGGCAAAACACACTAGAATCCAACTACGATGTAGGCAGTCTGTACAATAAAGTAACGACAGGATAGGAAATTGCAGTAAAAACTAACTACCCTGTCAGCAGACTTCACTTAACACTAACTACATTGTAGACAAACTGAATTGTAGGCAGCAAGGGATTGAACTAATCAAGGTACTGGGCCTTTTGTTTGTCTTTGGTCACACAAATAATATTAAGCGAAGACTATTTAAAATCAAATACAGCAGATGTAAATCAAGTATCACTTCCCGAGAAAGAAGATGTTCTTTCTTTTTCACTCAAGAATAGCGCAACTTTATCATTTTTTAAATGTAATCTCGGCCAAAAATTTGTGAAACATCATATCCCTACCCTGAATATTTGTTCTTAAAAGTACAGACTGAGAAAACTTTGTCTTTCTCAAGTTAAGAGAGGAATAAAATCGCCAACCAAATTAGAAATAAACCTGTGACGTTTCTGAATCAGAAATATGCAAAGAAGGGTGTCCTTAGTTTAAACCACAGACAAACAGTAGCACAATTTAGGGCTGTGCAACAGAGAGAGAAATTACCAGTCTTTCTATATGCGAGCGAAGGTTGGCAATGTACTTCCCTCTCTTCGGTTCGAAAAATATCTTTAATATCAAAATAAAATATCGCCATCATCAAAGGTAGACACTCATTTCCTCACAGGGCTGTGCTCTCTGATTTCCAAGCTCATATTTAATAATTACTTACGTAAAATATATTTGTTTCAACATTTTATATCAAATCGTTCTTTGCCTCCAATACCCCTGCCAGACTTATCTGCGCTACAGTTTGCCTGTGGTTTAAACAAACTAGAACACGATCAATGACCCAAAAGTCCTTGACAAATCCTTTACAAAGGTCCCATATGAGACTTCATGATTATTTTGAAAGCTTTCTAATCCATTTCCAAGTACATGTTAACAAGACGAACACTTTTTTTATGGATTGACAACTTCTTTTTTTGCAATAGTTGTCACGTTTCGATGTATATTTGAACACTGTTATCAAGCAAGTGATACACAACAATATGGACAAGGAGAATATATACATGAAGGAAATTCTTACCTTATTTTAGAATTGCACAGCATTTCAACCACCGGGTAATGTATATCTACAACATCTTTGATAACTGTACCATATTCATATACCTGGAAAGAGAGAGAGGGGGGACACATACAGTTTGGGGAGCATGGCTGAGTTCAAATTACAAGTTCTGTTGGCAATTCCCAGCCATATTGTGACTTTGCAGAGTGTAAGTGCAAGATTGAATTTGTCTAAACTGTTTTTCACAGCTTTAATTCAATGTTTCATATGGGGTCAAATGACTTTCCTTCGTGTGTGTTTGTGAAGTGAGGAGAAATTGGGTTTAATGTCATGCTTGAGAATATTTCACTCATATGACGACGTGCATGCATGTGTATGTGTATGTGCGGCTGCTTGTACTAGCCTAAGACTGAAGCTGGTTTTATAGTGCTAGCCCACTAGATACATAAATACCCCACTCAGACACATTATACTGACTCCGAGCCGACCAGTCCTTGTTGTACCCATTAATGCCGAGGGCCAGGCAGTGACCAACAAGTACCATATTTTAACATCTTTTGGTATGACGCGGTCAGGAGATCGAACCCACGACCTTCCGCTTTCCAGGCGGACGCTCTAACCACTACACCACGGAGGCCGTCCGTGTGTTTGTGATGTGTGAGGGATATGCTGACATTTTGGTAAACACCTGCTATCATCACTATTTGATAATGATTCATAAACACATGTTCATGATACACCAAGTTGTTGATGGAACCAGATTTAACAGAAAAGTTAGTTTATTAGTGTTATAAACTGATGTACTATCTTAACAAAGAGTCAACTTACTTTTATCTTTTTTGTAACACCAGCTATGGCAAAATAATCACAGTCTCTGTCAAATTCAATGCTGAAAGATAGAACCGATCAGTAAATAAATGAAAAAGACAAAATTCACAATAAAATGACATATAGACGTCAATGATACTTTATTTACTCCTCAAAAGAAAGTAATGACCACCTGATTCTTTCATATCACTGTCCATTAAAATCATATATTATCAGGGACACGATCAGGAAATGTTTCAAGATTAGGACATAGATTAGAAAATTCACTGCTTCTAACAAAATCCACTACAGCCTACAGTACTTGAAACTAATGCCTACGTGCAATCTCAAAATGGTATAAGAAGTACTTAAAGGTATTCTATCAATTCTGTTGAATATACATTAACAGTGAATTTGTGAACAAATCCAAAAGAATATTCTACTTTTCACTATGACTACTTTCTACAACTGTAACAACTATTTTAAGGAGAGTTCTAAATTTAGGCCATTATCATTATTGTTCTTGCTATATAACAGCAGGAGACACTAAATAGTACACCCAATGTACCTTGCAGGAAATCACCACTGTACCATGCAGGAAAAACACACCTAAGACTACCTTAAGTCTTTTAAGGTATGGGAGTTACGGTCACCTTAACGCTAAGATCGCTTTCTACAACGGCACCCAGCTCTTTGGTGTGATGAGCCAATGACCAGTATGCTACAGCATCACTACATATATTTTCAAATGTTACACAAATCTGACCTTGATACTATACTGGAGCCACCATTGAGAAGGTCAACAGCATAGCTGAGAGTAGCAAGAGGTCGAAATGAGGAGAAGCGAGTGAACTTTGAAAGACTGTCTGTGAACTCTCGGAGTCCATCGTGAGAATCATCCCCTGTAACACAATGAGGTCAACATACACATGTGAGGTCTTGTTTGTTTCTTGTTTGGTTATTTAATGCCAGACACACCAACATTCCAGCTATATGATGGCAGTCTGCAAATAAACAAGTCTGGACCAGACACTACAGTGATTCATTTTGTGAATGACCCACACTGTTTTCATACCAGGATATGCTTTGGATCTATTCTTATATGGAATCTCTAAGGGTGTCCACCTCTTGTACTGGTGAACTTAATTAATTAAAACTGCAAGATCACTAAATATACTATTAGGAACAGTGGGTTCTCTACTGAAATTATCAATAAAACAATCAAACTTCCCATTAGCTACTGTTTCAAGGGACAAGAAATGTGAAGTAATTTAATGTTAAGGAAGCCTGCCTGTTTGTGTTCAGTTTATGTTGTATTTACAATTGATAATGGCACACAATCAATGACTTTGTTTATTGTCGTATAAAGCTGGTGGTGTGAAAGAGCCATTGGGCAACACGTTAAGCTGACTGGGTTTACTACTCAACATGTTTCCCCACATGACAGACCATGCCACATAGACCTCCATATTTCATGTCAATAACATCAGTTCCTACCTGTAGATACTCCCTTCACCCTTGTATCAAAGTAACACTGTTCAAGATCTTCAAAATGTTGGCTGATTTGTTTCCTCCGAGATGCCATTGTTGTCTGAGTGAAAGATTTTCCTGCCTATCAACATACAAGGAACTGAATTAAGAATAAGAAACATATATATCATAAATATTTATAACTTGCACTTATAGTCAATAAGAATGATTTAATTCACTTTACATGACAACCTTGATGTGATTGATTCCTGAAATATAACCTGATCCTAGTGAGCACAGAACATTTCACAGTGCCACACTATTATTGCACTGGATGAGTGAGTGAGGGACTTGAGTTTGACCCCACACAGAACAGTATTCCAGTAATATTGTTGTGTGTCAGCTTGCTGTGGTAGCAAAGGGCATGGTGATGCAGGTTTTACAGTCCATTTGATTTCATTGGAGACCAATGAATTTCTTACTAACACAAAATCTAGTAATTGCAGCAAAAGCAAATTTTGTACAGTCACAGGAAATCAACAGACCAGCTGTGATTATTTGTCTCATAATTTTGGACACACGAATAAAAAAGTTGTTTAACAAACGATCATTATTTTGTTGTCACTTATCGCTGTTTTTTAAGAAGGGGGACCACTTGCTGGTAGGAGAGCAAGGTAATCAAAAAGCATGTGTAGTGAAATTTCAATTTCACACGTGCAATGCACACACCTAGCTGTTCTACAAGCACGTGGTCCCCACTCGTAAAAATAGCGAAAAGTGACAACAAAATAATGATCGACTGTTTAACAACATTTTTATTCAGGTTTCCAAAATTATGAGACATATCATCAGAGTTGGTCTGTCGATTTTATGTGACTGTGCAAAATTTGGTTTTGTTGCAATTACTAGATTTTGTGTTTGTGAGCAATTCATTGGTTTCAATGAAATCAAACGAACTGTAGATATTTATCACTATGGAAACCCACAAACACGGTATGGTGCTGACACACCTTGAAACATAATCGGCCATACTGGGATATGAACCACAATCAAGGTTTCTGTAAAGATGACAAGAATAAAAAATTGGAATAAAAATTAAATGGAAATAAAAATAACAAGTGTTTGCCACTGATATGGCAATGTCCCCCGCCGCTAAAGAATGGAATATTTATAACACATTTACTACCTCTTTTTGGGGGGGTCACATACAAGATGCCTGAAATGACTGGTGTCTGCATAATCACCCAATGTAGGCTGTCGACATAATTGAAGACATTGGGTGCAATGTTTTATGAGATATCGTGTTAACAAGAGTTTGAAAAGTGGTCAAATTGTCGTGGTGACCGTGAAAATAAGGTCAAGGTGACCAAAATCGACTGGTCTCTGGGTAATCCCCCAATGTAGGCTGTCACCAAATTTGAAGACATTGGGTACAACAGTTCATGAGATATCTCGTTAACAACAATTGGGACATACGTGATGAAAATAAGGTCAAGGTGATGGACTGGTGTCTGGGTAATCCCCAATGACGCACCAAATTTGAAGCTGAATACAAAGTCCCCTGTTCCGTGTTGCGGCGGGGACAATAATCTCAAACCAAAAGATTTTACTTGCATGTAACAGTAATGTATATTAATGTGATAAATGTTTATACTCTCAAAAATACTGTAACAGTACTCACATTTTTACTTCCGTTAAAACCATCTTGACATATGGATTCATTAATAGACGGCCTAATAGGTTCAAAGCCATTTGGTACAAGGTGATCCTGAAACAAACAGTCAGCATTAAACATCCTTCTGATATATAAGACTACACTCACACTGTTCGTCTCATATCATCACACACTGCGTGTGGGTCAAAGGGGAATGTCGATAAAAAATGTAATGCATAATCATATTTGAACCATACCCATCCTCACTGCTATGTCTGTAAATAATCAAATCTTGACAATCCAGTGATCAGCATCATGAGCATTGATTCCCACTGTTGGGATACGATCACATGCACCAACCAAATCAGCGAGCCTGACCACCAGAAGCCATTAGCCACCTTTTACGACGAGCATGGGTTGCTGAAGACCAATTCTAATCTGGAACTTCATGTGACATCCTTGAAGAGATTTTTGTATCTGGCTAATCCTTCAAACATGGTTTGAATAATGACAATAAGAGCTATTGTCTATTGGCTTGAACTGTAAATCATCTGTAAAATGGACTTTGTTGACACCTCCGTAAGTGTCATGTCCTCTCACGTCATCAGAACAATATGATATTCAAGCATATTGGAGGGAATACAAGTAATGGAAAGGCACTGTAACCATATGGGAGCTTGAGTTATTGATTGATTGAGTTTGGTTTTACGCCACTTTCAGTAATGAACCAGCAATATCACAGCTGGGGACACCAGATATGGGCTTCACACACTGTACCCATGTGGGGAATCGAATCCAGGTCTTCAGCGTGACAAGCGAACTCTTTAACCACTAGGCTACCCCACTGCCCCATATGGGAACTTGAACCAGGGTTATCAGCATGAAGAATGGATGTTTACCCATTAGGGTTAACCACTTGGATGCCCTCATGTGTCAAAAGAAAAGAGATGAAAGTTGCAGGCCTCATAATCTGACATGCCCACATCGCATGTGTCTGTAACAGTTACCCCACTAACTGTCACATCATGTTGGAAGAGTGAGAGTGAGTTAAGTTTTACGCCACTTTTAGCAATATTCCAGCAATATCACGGCGGGGGACACCAGATATGGGCTTCACATATTGTACCCATGTAAGGAATCGAACCCGGGGCGTGACGAGCGAACGCTTTACTACTAGGCTACCCCGGCTGATGGGTGAAATAACAGACACAGATGATACCATGCTACTGTACGCTGTAGGTACGCTTTAGGTATTTTTGTGTCTCTCCGGATTCTGTATTTGGGTTTTTCTGCATCCATTCTCTACATTTGTGCATACAAGATGCACATTTGTGCGTCAAATAAAACCCTGAGGACAGACAATCTGCAATTCCTAATAGATAATTTTGTTGACATTTTAAGAGAGAAAATGAGGAAAACACATAAGAAAATGTCAACCCTACCAAGAAACTTCACTGAACATGCCAAAGGCAGCATATAGTTCAGATAACGTACTGTAATCAGTGTGACGAGCGAACGCTTTAACCACTAGGCTACCCCACCGCCCTCATGTTGGAAGAACGTTTTAAGCACAATGCCTTGTAGTTACTTACTGGACATGCTGTGTATTTCTCTTGCTGCTCGTTGATATAATCCTGTTGATGAAAGAAACAAATGTAACAGCAGGTGCAGGTACACAATTGAGAGGAGCATTTATGATTTCTTTTTCTTTCAGTGAGGTATGTGGCCTCAAAGTTTGTGAGTGTGACTACACCACTTGAACAGTATTTCAGTATATCAGCTGGATCAGCTTGATGATGGAGGAAAGCCTGAAGTGATACAGGTTATATACATTTACTCCATTGGTTAAACCAACAAGCATGGTTAAACCAAGAAACATCATCACATCAGTGGTTTAGCTACTGAGGGCAGGTTGAGAGGATTCAGGGTATTAGATAAAAGGAAGGGTTTGTCTTGTTCATTTAGTGGCAGTTACAACATTCTTTAGCAGGAAATACTTGTTTTACAATGTTTATTTACAAAACATCCACTTGCACCATTGATCATTGGATGAAGAGATATTTACAAAAAATGACCACATGCATTTCATGCAAACCAAGTCCTTGTTTGTTATTTAAAGCTGCATGACCACTGATCTACGCAAAAGATGACATGTGTCAACCAAGTCCGTGAGCCTGACCACTCGATGCTGTTAGTCGTCTCTAACGACAAGCATGGGTTGATGAAGACCAATTCTAACCCGAATCTTCACAGGTATACCAGAAGAGAGACGTGGCTAGTTCTGTAATGGCCAGACTTACATCTACTCTTTTGGTATCCTCATCTAGGAGGTTAATGTCCCGATTCAACTTTTCCAGTTCCTGAAGAAAAACAAAACACAGTTAGTGAATCCAGAGGATGTTGGTTCATGCTGCAGCATTATTTCAGCTACATCACCCAGTCTTACAGTGGCAGATAGCATTATCAGCAATATCTTAAAGTACATATGTTCATGATGATATACAGAAAAAAAATAACATGCATTTAAGACGTCCAGAAAATATAAACTGAGTTGCAATAAAACTGAAAAGACGAATTATCCTATCCCAAACTACTTACACCCCGCACCATTAGAAAACATGTTCTGATTCTCAGATAAGTGTGTGAGTGAGTGAGTGACTTTAGTTTTACGCCACACTCAGCAATATTCCAGCTATATGGCGGCGGTCTGTAAATAATCCGAGTCTGGACCAAACAATCCAGTGATCAACAACATGAGCATCAATCTGCGCAATTGGGAACCAATGACATGTGTCAACCAAGTCAGCGAGCCTGACCACCCGATCCCATTAGTCACCTCTTACAACAAGCATGGGTCATGAAGGCCAATATTCTAACCCGGACCTTCACAGGTTGAGCGAGCGAATGAGTGAGTGGGTTACTGAAGGCCAATATTCTAACCCCGTCCTTCACGTGTCGAGTGGGCGAATGAGCGTGAGTGAGTGAGTTTAGTTTTATGTCGCACTCAGCAATATTCCAGCTCTATGGCAGCGGTCTGTGAATAATGGAATATGGACCAGACAATCCAGTGATCAACAGCATGTGCATCGATCTACCCAAATGGAATAAAATGGAATACAATGACATATGTCAACCAAGTCAGCATTCCTGACCACCCGATCCCATTAATCACCTCTTACGAAAATCATGGGTTAGTGAAGATCAACTCTAACCCAGATCTTCATGAGTAAGGTAAGTCAGAATACTTACATCTTGTTTCCCTTGTCGTACTCGTTGCAGAAATTCTTTCAGAATAATATTTTCAGCTAATTTGCCATCCTGAAAATTAGATTATACAGTTAAAGCTACTTACGAAGAAGAATCATAATGCATGTGCAAACATTGAGAAGCTCTTCCATGACAAAATTAATAGTTCAGCTGAATCCTCTACATGACATACAGACAAACCAATCTTTACAGTAATTATCAATGAGACAATATGTAATTCCTCTCTTACACATCACATACATGGCATATGTAATGTTTTTAAGGATTTATCCTCCCTCTGTTTATGATCAAGTTTTATATATTTTATATAAGATCTTTTTGTGCTACTGAAGTACTGGTAATTCATGAACAAGAGTCATCAGAAGATGACAAATCCCAATGGCCCCCACATATTTGAAAGAACAAATCATCTCACAGTTACTTAAAGTCCAACTTGATATTTTTCCGACTAAGTCTGAATTGTTTCCATGGAAATCATGAAAAATATCAATGCGTAAAATCTGTAAATAGCAAAAGGCACCACTTCAAGATCTCTTTGATATGATAGATATTGAAAGGTTTTCAAGTTGTGCTCCGGAAACGAAACCCACCCACCCCTTTTGAGGCTAAGTCCGAATTGTTTCCATGGAAACTAGGAAAAATAAAAATGCCAAACATCTGCAAATAGGAAAAGGCACCACCTGAAGATCTGAATCATATATCTGACAAGTTTGCTGAAAGATATTGAACAGTTTTCAAGTTGTGCTCGGGAAACGAAACCCACCCCTGCCTCTTGAGACTAAGTCTGAATTGTTTCCATGGAAACCGGGGAAAATAAAAATGACAAAGATCTGTAAATAGCAATATGCGCCACTTCAGGTTCTGTTTGATATATCTGACAACTTTTGCTGAAAGATGATGAACAGTTTTTGAGTTATGCTCCAGAAACAAAATGATTACAGAAAGACGGACGAGGTGTCGACTATAGGGTAATGCGGGGGGATAAAAATACCAGAATTACTATAGTTGCATTCTCTTCCCACAGAGGTTACTTATCATATCTTCCTACGAACCCCTGTTCTAATACGGCCATATTTCCCGGTTCTCGTAAAATCCCCTAGCGGCACAAAATCGCAACACAAATTATCTCACTTCTTTCTATCCAATCAGAACACGTGTTACATCGACTTAGATCTAACTGGACTAATGCAAGTAAATATGGGGCCACAAATATCCCTCCTCTGCCGGGGACATATGTTAATGTGACACACGAGACATTTGATGGCTAGCTTGTCCGTTGTCAACGAGGGCGATGGAGACGCCATTTATCCGCCAATACACGACTGAGTTCTGTCTAGAAGAAACGCTTTTTGATCGCTAGGGGAAGAGGTTCTAGTTTTCCCGAAGCATATGGAAATTACCGAGGCCTTGCGATTGATCACATTTGAAACAACTTCGCTGGTTGCACAACTAAATCTGATTGCAACCAATCACGAATCCTGAACACTCGCACCATGAAAGGGCTGTATTAGGACAGAGGTTTGTAGGAAGATATGACAAGTAACCTCTGTGGGAAGAGAATGCTATAGTTGCTGCGTTTCTACAATAGTAGCACAGGATGGTGTGATCCTTAACATCTTTTGAGTAGTATATGCAGTTCATTTGCAGTTGATGGCTAGCATTGCCTACATTGCCACAAGTCACTTTTCCTAGACAGACATATGTCTAAACATGCTGGTCCCACAGGAGGGTGGCTAAGACAGATTCTACAGATATTTCTGCCTATTTGAAGAATAGAAGTGAAAGGTTATTATCATAACTTTATGTTCAAATGCAATGATTTAAGGTCTCCAGACTTAAATACCATAGAAAAGACCTGAATGACCACTGACAACTTACTTTGGTTCACTCAGATGATAAGGGGCATACTTCACTCAGATGATAAGGGACATACTTCCTTCAGATGATAAGGGACATACTTCACTCAGATGATAAGGGACATACTTCACTCAGATGATAAGGGACATAACTAATTCAGATGATAAGGGGCATAATTCACTCAGATGATAAGGGACATACTTCACTCAGATGATAAGGGGCATACTTCACTCAGATGATAAGGGACATACTTCACTCAGATGATAAGGGGCATACTTCACTCAGATGATAAGGGGCATACTTCACTCAGATGATAAGGGGCATACTTCACTCAGATGATAAGGGACATACTTCACTCAGATGATAAGGGACATACTTCACTCAGATGATAAGGGACATACTTCACTCAGATGATAAGGGGCATACTTCACTTCAGATGATAAGGGACATACTTCACTCAGATGATAAGGGGCATACTTCACTCAGATGATAAGGGGCATACTTCACTCATGATAAGGGACATAATTTCACTCAGATGATATAAGGGGCATACTTCACTCAGATGATAAGGGACATACTTCACTCAGATGATAAGGGGCATACTTCACTCAGATGATAAGGGCATACTTCACTCAGATGATAAGGGATAAGGGACATACTTCTCAGATGATAAGGGACATACTTCACTCAGATGATAAGGGGCATACTTCACTCAGATGATAAGGGGCATACTTCACTCAGATGATAAGGGACATACTTCATTCAGATGATAAGGGACATACTTCACTCAGATGATAAGGGACATACTTCACTCAGATGATAAGGGGCATACTTCACTCAGATCACTTCAGATGATAAGGGGCATACTTCACTCAGATGATAAGGGGCATACTTCACTCAGATGATAAGGACATACTTCACTCAGATGATAAGGGGCATACTTCACTCAGATGATAAGGGGCATACTTCACTCAGATGATAAGGGGCATACTTCACTCAGATGATAAGGGGCATACTTCACTCAGATGATAAGGGGCATACTTCACTCAGATGATATGGGGACATTCACTTCAGATGATAAAGGAGATGATACTTCACTCAGATGATAAGGGGACATACTTCCTCTCAGATGATATATACTTCACTCAGATGATAAGGGGCATACTTCACTCAGATGATAAGGGACATACTTCACTCAGATGATAAGGGGCATACTTCACTCAGATGATAAGGGGCATACTTCACTCAGATGATAAGGGACATACTTCACTCAGATGATAAGGGGCATACTTCATTCACTCAGATGATAAGATGATATACTTCCACTCAGATGATAAGGGACATACTTCACTCAGATGATAAGGGACATACTTCACTCAGATGATAAGGGGCATACTTCACTCAGATGATAAGGGGCATACTTCACTCAGATGATAAGGGGCATACTTCCACTCAGATGATAAGGGGCATACTTCACTCAGATGATAAGGGCATAATTCCACTCCAGATGATAAAGGACATACTTCACTCAGATGATAAGGGACATACTTCACTCAGATGATATAGGGGATGATATGGGGCATACTTCACTCAGATGATAAGGGGCATAATTCACTTCAGATGATAAGGGGCATACTTCACTCAGATGATAAGGGACATACTTCACTCAGATGATAAGGGGCATAATTCACTCAGATGATAAGGGGCATACTTCACTCAGATGATAAGGGACATACTTCACTCAGATGATAAGGGACATACTTCACTCAGATGATAAGGGACATACTTCACTCAGATGATAAGGGGCATACTTCACTCAGATGATAAGGGGCATACTTCACTCAGATGATAAGGGGCATACTTCCTTCAGATGATAAGGGACATACTTCACTCAGATGATAAGGGGCATACTTCACTCAGATGATAAGGGCATACTTCACTCAGATGATAAGGACATACTTCACTCAGATGATAAGGATACTTCACTCAGATGATAAGGGGGCATACTTCCACTCAGATGATAAGGGATATACTTCATGATATCACTTCACTCAGATGATAAGGGGCATACTTCACTCAGATGATGATAAAACTCAGATACTTCACTTCAGATGATAAGGCATACTTCCACTCAGATGATAAGGGACATACTTCACTCAGATGATAAGGGCATACTTCACTCAGATGATAAGGGGCATACTTCACTCAGATGATAAGGGACATACTTCCTTCAGATGATAAGGGACATACTTCACCTCAGATGATATAGGGCATACATAACTTCACTCAGATGATAAGGACATACTTCACTTCAGATGATAAGGGGCATACTTCATTCAGATGATAAGGACAGATGATAAGGGGCATACTTCCTCAGATGATAAAGGGCATACTTCACTCAGATGATAAGGAGCATACTTCACTCAGATGATAAGGCATACTTCACTCAGATGATAAGGGCATACTTCACTCAGATGAGATGGCATAATACTCAGATGATAAGGGGCATACTTCACTCAGATGATAAGGACATAATTCACCAGATGATATAGGGCATAATTCACTCAGATGATAAGGGGCATACTTCACTCAGATGATAAGGGACATAATTCCACTCAGATGATAAGGGGCATACTTCACTCAGATGATAAGGGACATACTTCATTCAGATGATAAGGGGCATACTTCACTCAGATGATAAGGGGCATACTTCACTCAGATGATAAGGGGCATACTTCACTCAGATGATAAGGGGCATAATTCATTCAGATGATAAGGGGCATACTCCACTCAGATGATAAGGGCATACATACTCCACTCAGATGATACATAATTCATTCAGATGATAAGGGGCATATTCACTGATAAGGGCATACTTCATCCAGATGATAAGGGGCATACTTCACTCAGATGATAAGGGCATAATTCATTCAGATGAGATAATAATGGGCATAATTCAGATGATAAGGGACTCAGATGATAAGGGCATACTTCACTCAGATGATAAGGGGCATACTCCACTCAGATGATAAGGGGCATACTTCACTCAGATGATAAGGGACATAATTCCTTCAGATGATAAGGAGCATTCTTCACTCAGATGATGAGGGGTATATTTCACAGCCTCCAAAGTTACCAAAGCTAGTCATATTATTCAGATTTCTAAAAACATCCAACACTGAAATATATCAAAATACATTAAAACAGATCTTCTGCTTATAAACAAAAGTTCCCCTGATGCAAATCTGAGCGTTACTAGTGTTCCCAGAAAAGAAGTGATCAACCAGCTCATCTTACAAGCAGGTACTTACAGCTTCTAGTTGTTGCTTCTTGTGTACCAAGAACTCCAGCAGCTGGTTGACATTAGCAAGGTCAAGGTTATCTTCCGACACCAAGTCTACCAAATCAGCAGGACCAGGACAAGTCTAGAAAACATATTTCTATACAAATACACACATCCAAAGATACATATAAAATCACAATAAGTATCACAATGTAAACCATGACATAAGCAATCTATATCTAGGGTGAAGGTTAAAATGTGTGAGTTATGCAGACCTTGGACCTTTACCTCTTTGCTGAAACCCATAAACAAAAGGACTTTATTACATGTCCAGGGCATGATCTACATGTCCTCGGTACCAGGTCTCTTCTCTCACATGATTGATTCTTATCCACTTCCATGTCATGTCACTGTCAAAGAACCCCTTTTCCTGCACTTCCATGCCATAGTGACATTGGATGAAACAACCCAATAATCATAATCTGGGTCAATCTGGGACTGGAAACAATGATCATGTATTCTGGCAGGCCTTAAGAGTGCAACCATAAATAATGCTGGCTGATTTGTCTTCAGCTCCAGTCATGTTTTGCTGATGTAGGAAGCTACAATCAGCAATGTTCCAGCTGTATGATGGTGGTCAATGATCAAATCTTGACCAGACAATCCAGTGATTGACAACATAAGCATCCGTCTACGCAGTCAGGATACGGTGATATGCATCAACCAACTCAGAGGAACTGATCACTTGATTCTATTAGTGTCCTCTTATGAGTGAGTGAGTAAGTGAGTGAGTTGGGTTTTACGCTGCTTTTTGCAATATTCCAGCAATATCACAGTGGGGGACACCAGAACTGGGCTTCACACATTGTGCCCATGTGGGGAATTGAACCCTGATCTTCCGCGTGATGAGGGAACGCAGTCTCCTCTTATGACAAGCATGGGTTAGTGAAGTCTATTTCTGACCTCGATCCTGAACTTCTAACCTAGATTTGAACACAAAATGAAATGTTTCATAGCAGTGACAAATCTCACCTGTTGCTCAATTTTGATTTTCTTTTCTTCCTGTTTCCCTTTGTATTTGAGAATCAGTTCGTTCACTGAAACAAGTATCACAAAATGTAACACACAGCAAGATCATGGTGCACTGTCTTGCACAGATGCATTTAAAATAGATCAGACAGAATCCTCAAAGGTTATTCAATCTCATCTTCTTCATCAGGGATATATCTACTGGCAGTATAAGCATGATAAGGAAACGTAACATAACCTTTATGCCTTTAATATATGGTTCCTTGGTAACCTGTTGGACAGACAAGCCAATTCAACAAACAGGAAGCAAACACCCACCCACCAGTGACGTAACACCATACTGAACAAGAGTGAGTGAGTGAGAATAGCTTTTCACCGCTTTTAGCAATATTCCAGCAATATCATGGCAGGGGACACCAGAAATGGGTTTCACACATTGTACATATGTGGGGAGTTGAACCCAGGTCTTCGGCAACGATGAGCGAACGCTTTAACCACTAGGCTATCCCACCTCCCCCACTGAGTCCACCCCACATTAGTTATTATATAACCTAGCATGGACCAGACAAACCACTGATATTGTGAACATCCCTACGTTAGGCTACAATGGCACACAATACACCAAATCAAAGCCTGATCACTTGTTGCTACCTGAGACATGTATAGGTTTCTGGGGGCAAAACCAAACCCAGAAACCACATAGTGTAACCCCAAGCTGGTAACTCCTTCAGCTTCACAGCACCTGTCCAAGGAGTGACTTACATGTAAAGTTTGGGAAGATATGCTCTGCATTGTCGATGATGTAGTTACACTTGGGACACCTGTTGGTCTTCTCAAGGCACTGCTTTATACACTTGAAGCTGAAAATAGATACAGGTGAAGTCAGGTGAAATGGTATAGGCAGTGTAGGAAAGATAGAAAATCCCAACGTCCACAGGACGGGTGAATTTTGTGGAGGACGGTTAAAATATCTAGTCCTGTCCTCCTCATGTCGGGTCAATTTTAGCAAACCAATGACATATATAAAGATTATAACCTTTTTGAATATATTACTGCCAAAGGTGTTTTATTTATATTTGAGGACAGGCTAGATTTTGGCAGGACTGGTAAAAAATTCCTGCCCTGCCTGTGATTAGGGACGATTTTCTACATCTTTCCTACACTGTATAGGGTTTAACAATTTCTCACAGATTACTGCAAGAAGGATTGCGTGTGTGTGCTTGAGCTTCCATGTGTGTGGATACCATGTCCATTAAGACATACCATGTTCTCCATGCTCATGAAGTTCATTAGATGTAGTCTTACATTTACGACACTGGGCACAACTGTTTAAATAATGAAAAAGTTGAAAAATGAAGATTTTGAATGTTAAACAGAATTTGACCATTTGAATTGAATAGTAGTGATTAAGTTGGGTTTCATGCCGCTTTTAGCAATATTCCAGCAATATCAAAGCGATCTGGACTGAATAGCATTTGTCTTTTGGTATCAAAGACAAAAACACTAAAGGGTTTGTGATAATACTTTGTCAGCTGGGACATTGTAGTGTCTGGAGATCTTAAATGAAGACAACCAGCTCAACTGGGACATTGTAGTGTCTGGTGATCTTAAATGAGTAGATCAAGCTCAACTGGGACATTGTAGTGTCTGGTGATCTTAAATGAGTAGACAAGCTCAACTGGGACATTGTAGTGTCTGGTGATCTTAAATTAGTAGAACAAGCTCAACTGGGACATTGTACTGTCTGGTGATCTTAAATGAGTAGAACAAGCTCAACTGGGACATTGTAGTGTCTGGTGATCTTAAATGAGTAGAACAAGCTCAACTGGGACATTGTAGTGTCTGGTGATCTTAAATTAGTAGAACAAGCTCAACTGGGACATTGTACTGTCTGGTGATCTTAAATGAGTAGAACAAGCTCAACTGGGACATTGTAGTGTCTGGTGATCTAAAATGAGTAGAAAACAAGCTCAAGTAGAACAAGCTCAACTGGGACATTGTAGTGTCTGGTGATCTAAAATGAGAACCATTGCTGTCTGGTTCTTAAATGAGGAAAACAAGCTCAACTGGGATATTGTAGTGTCTGGATATCTAAAATGAGTACAACAAGCTCAACTGGGACATTGTAGTGTCTGGTGATCTTAAATGAGTAGAACAAGCTCAACTGGGACATTGTAGTGTCTGGTGATCTTAAATGAGTAGAACAAGCTCAACTGGGACATTGTAGTGTCTGGTGATCTTAAATGAGTAGAACAAGCCAAACTGGGATATTGCAGTGTCTGGTGATCTAAAATGAGGAAAACAAGCTCAGTTCTTAAATGAGTAGAACAAGCTCAACTGAAATATTGTAGTGTCTGGTGATCTTAAATGAGGACAAGCTCAATTGGGACATTGTAGTGTCTGGTGATCTTAAATTAGTAGAACAAGCTCAACTGGGACATTGTACTGTCTGGTGATCTTAAATGAGTAGAACAAGCTCAACTGGGACATTGTAGTGTCTGGTGATCTTAAATGAGTAGAACAAGCTCAACTGGGACATTGTAGTGTCTGGTGATCTTAAATGAGTAGAACAAGCTCAACTGGGACATTGTAGTGTCTGGTGATCTTAAATGAGTAGAACAAGCTCAACTGGGACATTGTACTGTCTGGTGATCTTAAATGAGTAGAACAAGCCAAACTGGGATATTGCAGTGTCTGGTGATCTAAAATGAGGAAAACAAGCTCAGTTCTTAAATGAGTAGAACAAGCTCAACTGGGACATTGTAGTGTCTGGTGATCTAAAATGAGAACCAGCTCAGTTCTTAAATGAGGAAAACAAGCTCAACTGGGATATTGTAGTGTCTGGATATCTAAAATGAGTACAACAAGCTCAACTGGGACATTGTAGTGTCTGGTGATCTTAAATGAGTAGGACAAGCTCAATTGGGACATTGTAGTGTCTGGTGATCTTAAATGAGTAGAACAAGCTCAACTGGGACATTGTAGTGTCTGGTGATCTTAAATGAGTAGAACAAGCCAAACTGGGATATTGCAGTGTCTGGTGATCTAAAATGAGGAAAACAAGCTCAGTTCTTAAATGAGTAGAACAAGCTCAACTGAAATATTGTAGTGTCTGGTGATCTAAAATGAGAACCAGCTCAGTTCTTAAATGAGGAAAACAAGCTCAACTGGGACATTGTAGTGTCTGGAGATCTAAAATGAGGAGAACAGGCTCAACTGGGACATTGTAGTGTCTGGTGATCTAAAATGAGGAGAACCAGCTCAGTTCTTAAATGAGGAGAAGAAGCTTAACTGGGACATTGTAGTGTCTGGAGATCTTAAATGAGGAGAAGAAGCTCAACTGGGACATTGTAGTGTCTGGAGATCTTAAATGAGGAGAAGAAGCTCAACTGGGACATTGTAGTGTCTGGAGATCTTAAATGAGGAAAACATGCTCAACTGGGACATTGTAGTGTCTGGAGATCTTAAATGAGGAGAACAAGCTCAACTGGGACATTGTAGTGTCTGGAGATCTAAAATGAGGAGAACAGGCTCAACTGGGACATTGTAGTGTCTGGTGATCTAAAATGAGGAGAACCAGCTCAGTTCTTAAATGAGGAGAAGAAGCTCAACTGGGACATTGTAGTGTCTGGTGATCTAAAATGAGGAGAACAGGCTCAACTGGGACATTGTAGTGTCTGGTGATCTAAAATGAGGAGAACAAGCTCAACTGGGACATTGTAGTGTCTGGTGATCTTAAATGAGGAGAACAAGCTCAACTGGGACATTGTAGTGTCTGGTGATCTTAAATGAGGAGAACAGGCTCAACTGGGACATTGTAGTGTCTGGTGATCTAAAATGAGTAGAACCAGCTCAGTTCTTAAATGAGGAGAACCTCAACTGGGACATTGTAGTGTCTGGTGATCTAAAATGAGTAGAACCAGCTCAGTTCTTAAATGAGGAGAAACTCAACTGGGACATTGTAGTGTCTGGTCATCTAAAATGAGGAGAACCAGCTCAGTTCTTAAATGAGGAGAAACTCAACTGGGACATTGTAGTGTCTGGTGATCTAAAATGAGGAGAACCAGCTCAGTTCTTAAAGGAGTAGAAGAAGCTCAACTAGGACATTGTAGTGTCTGGTGATCTTAAATGAGGAGAACCAGTTGGCCAGGACATTGTAGGATATGTCCAATCACTGTAGCTGTGTGTCAGGAGGTGAGGATGTCAGGATGAATCACATCCATTATCCAAGCTGTAGTCTACACTGACATTCACTACAAAGTAGGCTTGACACCTAAAACTTCTGAATCAGGGAAATTATTAAGCCCTTGCTCACTCATCTGTAGATACCTCAAATAAGGATCTTGGTCCTCAAATAAGGATCTTGGTCTTCCAGAGAGTAAAGTTCATATTCACAGAGTATTCATCATTTATAGTCAATTAAGCAATTTACCATTTTCTGAAAGGAAAATGCCTGATAAAACCTCACATCATAAAAGTAGAGTGTCTCTGGGAACACACAAGAATGTTCACTCTCAAGATGTTATGGTCAGAAACATGTGATGATTACAAGCTCTACTTTGTATAATTCCTTCTTTTCTTCAAATATGATCACGCTAGCTTATACTGGCAAATAATATCATGCACAGTCTTTTGGGAATAAACTATCAAACTGATCTGTAATGCACAAATCAGAATATAAAAATCTGTAGATTTAAGTGGACATTGGTGGAGTGACTTGGAGTGAGCGAGTTTAGTTTTACGCCATTTTTAGCATTTTCCAGCAATATCACGGCAAGGAACACCAGAAATGGCTTCACACGTTGTATCCATGTGGGGATTCAAACCAAGGTCTTCGGTGTGACGAGTGAACACTTTAACCAGTGGGCTACCTCACCGCCCCTGAGTGACTTGGAGACAAACTTAACAAGAAGTACCAGATGCCAGCAGCAAAGTCTGCATTACAACCATCAATATGACAACCCTAATTATTAAAAAGGTTTGTACTCTGCCCAATGTTGGCACTTAGTGCAACAAAATTTCTTCTCCCTATTTTCTAACCTCAAAATCTGTCATACAATCTTACGTCACAATCTACTCAACTTTGTCATAAAAACATTCTCTTGAAATGATTGTTAATACTGAAGAAATTCTGTTTAATGGACCAAATCAAACATGATAAAACATTTACTTACCAAAACGTATGTCCACATTTGGTCATATGAGCCTCTTCAATTATATCAAAGCACACTGGGCTGAAATAAATAAAAACATCAGTTTTAAAAAGTCAGACAGGCAATGACATTTCCCACACAGAAACATGTGGCCAATTCTGCCCTTATTGATTGTCCCTGAGCATGCTGAGAAAAGAATGTGTCCATTCTGTATTGAGGAAAACACACACAACGGGAAAACTGAGCGGTATTGGGGAGGTCCAAGCTTTGTCCTACGAAGACAGTTAGCAGACTTCTTGATCATGTTTTTACGCTAAGATACTTTAAAGTTACTTTTCTGTTAGTAAAAATTATTAGGAATTGTTCTTTTTTTAGAGAGTGTAGCAAATTCTTGGTCATAATAAAGCATTGTGTGGATAAGTGATTCCCTTTTTTCGCTATACTTCTTACATATTACATGGTGTTGCTCATCGCTATACTTCTTACATATTACATGGTGTTGCTCATCGCTATACATATTACATGGTGTTGCTCTGCTATACATATTACATATTACATGTGTTGCTCATCGCTATACTTCTTACATACATGGTTTGCTCATGGTGTTGCTCATTCATGGTGTTGCTACTTACTTACATATTACATGGTGTTGCTCATCGCTATACTTCTTACATATTACATGGTGTTGCTCATCGCTATACTTCTTACATATTACATGGTGTTGCTCATCGCTATACTTCTTACATATTACATGGTGTTGCTCATCGCTATACTTCTTACATATTGTTGCTTCATGGTGTTGCTGTTGCTCATCGCTATACTTCTTACATATTACATGGTGTTGCTTACATCACTTGCTATACTTCTTACATATTACATGGTGTTGCTCATCTATACTTACATATATACATGGTGTTGCTCTATCGCTATACTTCTTACATATTACATGGTGTTGCTCATCATACTATACTGGTCTTGCCCATATTACATGGTGTTGCTCATCGATATACTTCTTACATATTACATGGTGGCTCCATANTTGCTCATCGCTATACTTCTTACATATTACATGGTGTTGCTCATCGCTATACTTCTTACATATTACATGGTGTTGCTCATCGCTATACTTCTTACATATTACATGGTGTTGCTCATCGCTATACTTCTTACATATTACATGGTGTTGCTCATCGTTGCAGGTTTTCTTATATTTTCCAGTTTCAATTTTGAGTTTATGATGACTTAACCGTAGTTTTGAAAAATGTGATCTATGAGCTTTGTTTTTACAATGAACATGTTGTATTTATCAAATATTTATACAATTAGTGGGTATGTTTGAGATGATTTGAGCAGGACAGGCTACACATGACTAGGACTGGTAATACCTACAAACTGCAATATGCTTGGGAAAAAATACATTCATTTATTTTCCTGTGTTCAGGTATTTCATGTGAAACATGTATAACAACTTTCATTGTTATTCGTATTGTTTAAACATAATAAAATCTGCACAGGAATTCATTCACAAATGATGTCTCCCTTGAAATTGATTGATAAATTGACAGAAATATGGATGTGATTCTGTTAGTCGGCCCTGATAACTTTCACACTGGAATATATACTTAGAACATAATAGGATCCGGAAGCACAATTAGTGTCACTCACTGTCAAACACTTCAGCTCCAATATATTACAATATGTAATACAATGCAAATACCAACATATTGCAATACAATTTTTTTGCCAAAAAAACCCAGCCCCGTGCACAACGAGAACACAAGGTGGGTGGTTACAGTCTGTCAATTATGAAGGCTATTCTCTTGTCTGGAGGTTTTCCTGGGCCACAAGTGTTTGATCTCCCACTATGTTTGCACAAAGCCATGATGTAGGTAACCCTTGACCCTGTGGGACAGGCTGAAGTCTCTCAGATCCCTGAGGGACACACATAGACCTGGACCATGCCTTGGGACATCTCCATTTACTGTTTCATCACACACGTTCTGGTTCTTGCTAGATGTCTAGATGATTGAAATAGTCAAGCTCACATATGCAATGAGGAAATAGCTTTTATTTTTTTTTATAGAATGACTTTTAAAGGATCATACACAGTGGATTCCCTAATGTATATCAAATCAAATCAAATCAAATCAAATATATTTATTGTGCAAACGTTCCATACAGACTGACTGACTGAGTTTAGTTTTACGCCGCTTTTAGCAATATTCCAGCAATATCACGGCGGGGAACACCAGAAATGGGCTTAACACATTGTACCCATGTGGGGAATCGAACCCGGGTCTTCGGCGAGACGAGTTCCATACAGAAACAGTGACAATATTCTATAAACTACATAAACAAGATATATAATAAAACTATTTTCAGGGCTCTGGAACACAAATAGGTAATCAAACTGCCATTGGAAGTTGACCTTAATTCGACTCAAAGTGAAATACTGCATGATGAAAGTTTACATAAATTTATAATATAATCATTTGAGAAAACATAAAAGGCAACCACCACAAACATGAAACAGGATGCCTTCACTTCAGGTGTCTCAATGCTTCAGTGAAAGGTTTTCACGGGAGACATTCCTGGTAAATATGAAGTTAATTAACATGTTCAAAAACCATGTTTGTCTGTCAATTATCTCTAATTTCATATTGCATATCATTATAACAATTAACTATCCTTCTAATTACAGACATTACCTCAAGTTTCACAGAGGATTCTAATAATGGTGTCTAGACACTAGCAATAATGGTGTCTAGACACTAGCCTGTGGAGGACACACCCTCTTGACAAAAGGCAATGTTTGAAATCATGAACAAATGGACTAAACAGTTTTCAGTGAGTTTAGTTTTAAACTGCTTGCATTCCAGCAATACTATCACAGCAGGGGACACCAGAAATAGGCTTCACACATTGTAGTAAATTGTACCCACGTTGGGAATTGAACCTGGGCCTTCGGCATGACGAGCAAAAGCTTTAACCACTAGGCTACCCCACCAGCCCCAATTCTCAGAAGTTGCTATTACAGGTATGAATGTATTCTGAAGACAAAGGACTGTTTTAATCAGGACCTGTTACTTGGTGGAAGTCAGACACCCTTGACACAGTGATCTTGGAACTAGTTGTGTTCTGTAGTAAATTAACTGAATATATTGAAAACTCACTTAAGTTGAAGATTCCATAATTGAACACAAAAACTCTGCCCATTCAACCCTGAGATAATTTTATGAACTTATAGAAAATCATAAATCTGCCTTATTCATGTTAAACACTAGTTGCAACAACTGTTGCAGTGCTAAGTAGTAACTTGTCGTAATATCATGATTTGGCCAGCCTAATCAACCAATGGATCATTAAACTAATTGGTCAATTAGGACTTTTGCTGTTATTACAGCACTGTGATCACTGTATGTAATCACTAGGTTTGTTTCCAAACCGATGAACAAGATTTCAAACAATTAACATGAGAAAACATCTGAAGAGGGAAAAGTTTAACTTTAATATTGCAGCTGATGCAATGTGGCCTCTATGATCTTACATTAGTTACAAGAAAACATTGGTATATTGTAACCACTGCTGCTGAAGCTAATATACCCATGATCGGAATGCTGATAGCTGAGGATATTCCAGCTGCTTGTTGCATAGCAGAGTAATATCCAACAGGCAACTGTTTCTGTGCTAAAACAAACAGTGAGTGAGTGAGTTTAGTTTTATGCCGCACTCACCAATATTACAGCTAAATGGTGGCGGTCTGTAAATGATCGAGTCTGGACCAGACAATTCAGTGTTTAACAGCATGAGCATCGATCTGCGCAATTGGGAACCGATGACGTGTCAACCAAGTCATCGAGCCTGACCACCTGATCCCGTTAGTCGCCTCTTACGACAAGCATGGGTTACTGAAGATCAATTCTAACCCGGATCTTCACGGGTCAGAGTGAGTGAGAGAGTGAGTGAGTCTGAGGCAGGATGGAATGTTCCTTGGAACTATATCATATCATAGCTTGTCATGTGGGAGGAAAGCATGAAACTCATATGCACTTTCCACTTTTTGTAAAACCCTTCAGCCACAATATGGTGCTGACAGAACGATATAACAGACGGGATTCTAGGACAGTTAATGTGAGATTTCAACTTTTGAGCCCATATATACTTAAAGGCAAACACTAACTTATTTTTAGACATAAAATAGACCAAACAAAATTCAAAACTGATGGAATGCAGACTTAAAGCACATACAAAATAGTTTTGGTCAGTATCAACATGAACCAAATTCAGGGGGGAGGATTCTTCAGTAAAACAACGATCATACACAGCATTTTGACCTGGACTAGGGATGGAGAATGTCAAATCTTTCACTCGACTTAAATTAGGATGTAGCGACTTGAAAACTAATAAGTCAAGTGTGATAGACACATCTATGAGGACCCTTCCTGTTCCTGCAGTTTGATATCCAAATTCATACTTTCATAACATGGTGTTTAACCTCATTTCTGTACTTAATGGAAATTCTGATGAATCAAAAGGTTTTCGCATCCGTTCAAGAATGGAAATTCTGCAAATGTGAATCAAAAGGTTTTCGCATCCGTTCATGATTTCATAAATGAGACAAAAAAAAGATTTAAAATTGATCACTAAAATGTTTATGTAGCTTTTTCCTCATTCCCAACACACCTCCATCATATTCACTGGTATTATCTACTATATATTTGTACTAATGTACTATTTTTCATTTGTGATTTACATATTACTGAAGAGGTATTTGAAGACTTGTTTACCAAGCCAGCCCTTAGTAATGTACAGACATGAATATGTTTAAAGCAATTCCCAAATTCATATACACTAAGTAATAACTAATGTTACCACTGTGTACTTGACTTGTAATTCTCTGATAATTTGCCTGTTAAAGAAGAAAAAGCTCTAATCCTTAGGTTTACAATACAGACAGACTTTATGGATAACAACGTCTTAATTCATGAGGACAAAAATAGAGATAACAGATACAGATTCTTGTACCGTTGTCAAGCAATTTGCTTGACAATGGTACAAGAATCTGTATCAAAATGTCGCAC